ACCTGAGGAACAGCAGCTGTCATATGAGCTTTGCATCACTAACATGATCGTGTGTGTGTGTGTGTGTGTGTGTGTGTGTGTGTGTGTGTGTGTGTGTGTGTGTGTGTGTGTGTGTGTGTGTGTGTGTGTGTGTGCGTGCGCGCGCGCGCTCAGTTCCCAGAGTGATTCCCAGGGTCTGCCATCCTGGAGAGCTGCGGCAGGAGTACGAGGATCAGGTGACCAAGGTCAGGGTGTTCTTAGTTTGATTTGCTAATTTTGTTTATTTCAAATTAAAATAACTGAAAAAGACACTAAACGGGCATGTTGGCATGGTGATGGTGTGACATCACTGTGATGTCATCAAGGTGTGAGCCTGCTGTGATCTCTGAAGCTTTACTTCTGTCTCTGTAAACGTTGCTTCTTTAAGTAAAGCTCAATCTTAATGAGGATGGTGGCGGTTGTGATGGTGAGGTCACGCAATGAGGTCACGCAATGAGGTCACATGACGGTGTGTGTTTGCAGCTGATGGAGGAGCGGAGGGCTCAGGACGAGGAGGAGAGCAAAGCAAGCGAGGAGCTGATCCAGAAGCTGCTGGCTGAGGAGCAGCAGCAGCTGCAGGAGGAGATGAGGAGGAAGGAGGAAGACGAGCGTCTGGCCAAGCTGCTGAGCAACCAGCTGGTCCGTGAGGTCGCTTAGAGGTCACGGAGAGGTCACCATGTACTGTGGGTCACGCTAAGCTGCTTTCCTCCCACAGAACTCCCAGGAGAACCTTCGTGTTCCCGACGTCGCTCCGGTCAAGAAGAAGAAGGAGGTCGTAATAGGACACATGGACAGGTGAGTCGCACCTGATTCAGCTCCACCTAATTAGCATCTGTTAGCATGGAGAGCCGCTCCGGGGGTTCCTGGTCACATGGTGTGTTGACAGGAAGTGACACGTTTCATCTGTTTGTTTCAGGTTCCTGTGTCCCTGCCCTCCTCCAGGCTCCGCCCCCAGCTTCATAACCAATAAGGTCAGTTTGAGCGTCGCCTGATCCTCTTTGCAGCCCAAGCATAGTGATGACATCACATGCTTCAACTTCCTGTTTCAGGAGAACATCATCCTGATGGAGACAGAGCTTCTCCCAGAGCAGCCCCTCCCACCGATATCATCGAAGAGGAAGAGCTCAGAGCTGGACCCAGTGGAGGAGGAAGTGACCTCCAAGCGAGTCCAGGTGTGCTCCCCGCCTGAAGAGGAGCGGCCGCTGCCGGACTGGGAGGCGGAGCTTCGGGTGAGGCAGCAGCAGGAGGAGGACGACCTCCACCTGGCTCTGCTGCTCCAGAGGGAGGTGGACCAGGAGGAGCGACGGAGAGCCACGGACCGGAGCAAGGGCTCCGCTGACCCCTACCTGCTGCGCCCCCAGAGAGGTGACACGGAGGAGGCGGGGCCGTCACGCATACCTGCAGTAGGAAGAATACGCCGGATGCGCGGCCGCTCCGTCAGTAACTCCACCAGCATCTCCGCCAGCAGCTCTGTCAGCAACTCCATCAGCTTCCCGTTCCTGCGCTCGGCCTCCTCTGTCTCGGTGTTGAGCAGAGGAAACAAACAGGCCACTCTGACCGAGATGTTTACTCTTCCTCGCTCCTGCTCTTCTGCCTCAGCTACCACAAGAAACCCAAAATAAAGGCATTTTATTTCGTAACCTCCACTTCCTGCTGATCGGTGATCACTTTCTCTTCACGGTTTGTTTCCTGATTTTTCTGTGATCATGTGACGCTGTGACTCAACGGCTCCCCCTGGTGGTCACATCACAGGACTGATGGGCCGAATCTGCTAACATTAACTACAACTTAAACACTTTAACAGTTATTGATCTGATTGGTCAGATCAGTGAATGACGGCAAGGGATGCGCAGAAGCTCCTCCCCCTTTAGTAGCTGGCGCATCAACTGTTATGATACACTATCATGGTTGGATCCTGCAGGGGGCGCTGTGAACTGTTCCCACAGGATTCAGACAGTTATCAAAACTGTTTTTTTTTTTTTTCTCAAATTTTAGTTTAAATACAAAAATGTCTGATTAGAAATAAAAGTTCTGCTAAGGTTCTCCTGCTTTGATTCTTTAAATTCGTCCTGATGATCCAAACGACCAGTCAGAACCAGACTTGAGTCGATGTTCTGGCCCATACGGACCTGGTTCCAGTGCAGCTGGATGGTGTCTGGTTTCCCTTTTAAAGAATCTTTTTTTATTTTACAAGCTAGGATTCTTTGGTATCAGTCAGAAGGTTCGGATTGTGTTCTGTCATCTGGACTCCGATACGATGGAAAATGTTTGAACCACTAGGGGGCGACACTGAGACATGACAAATATGTAAATATTTAATTCAAAGAACTGATAAATAAACTCTAATCAAAAGCAATAAAAGTGAAACAATGTGATTTTCAAATAAAAGGTTCAGTACTAATATAAAGATTAGCTAAATGACATCAGGTCTCCTGCAGAAAGTCTGTTCCAAATGGGAATTGTTTGTGAATTTAGTCAAAAATTTACAGCAGTTATTTAGTCAGTCACAAGTTAAAACTAAACCTTCAGTTGGTAACCTAATTTAGCTTCAAGCTAATATATTTAATTAGTAAGCTAGGTTTTTAACTGCAAACTAAATATACTGCTAAAAAAAATAAAGGGAACACTCAACACAATATAACTCCAAGTAAATCAAACTTCTGTGAACTCAAACTGTCCACTCAGAAAGCAACATTGATGACAATCAATATCACCTGCTGTTGTGCAAATGGAATAGACAACAGGTGGAAATTATTTTCATATTTCATTCATTCATTCATTCAGATCTAGGATGTGTTATTTGAGTGTTCCCTTTATTTTTTTGAGCAGTGTAGTTAGCAAGCATACTATTTCCAAATATTCAGCTAATATGAAGCGGAAGTGGATTATCAAAATAAAAGCTGGTCTTGAGAACTTCAGTTTCTCTGAACGTCTGCTGTCTTTAAGACGAAATAACACGACGCCATTAGAAAGAAGAAGTTTACAAAAAGATGAGAAACTAAATATTTATTCTGCTGAACATGCAGTTTTAATTTAAATATTAAGCTGATTAACTAGATATTTAGTTTGTTTTTGATAGTTTTTCATTTTATATTTTCAGAATCGCTCCATAAAACAGCAGAACTCTTAATGTTTCAAAATGTCAGAAGTCATTAAAAGCTTAAAAATCTCATTTAAACCACCTGTGGCTGTTAAACTTTCAAATTTGACAAATGAAAGCTTCTCTGCATCAGCTGCAGGAACTGAGCTGCTCAGAAAGCATCGAACATAAATACACCGTAAATATTTAGCAACATAATATTTGACTTTAGTCTCATGATGATGGTTATATTCGAGGTGAAAGACAAGCTGAGCTTAAAACCTCAAATAACTGAACATGTTGCTCTCATTTCGACCAGAACAAATCCGCATCATGGTGCCGTTTCGTCACCATAATGCGGTTCCCGTTGCTTCACCCGCGGCGGGTCACGTGACCTGGTGAGTCACGCACTGATGTCAGAGCCGAGCAGTACTCGAGGACCTCAGGTGTTCTGGTTCAACTCATGTCTGCGGGGTTTTGGGTCGAGTCACGAACGGTTCTGGTGTTGCAGTTTGAGCCGCGGTTTGTGAACAACACTAAAAAATGAACAACAATCTGTTTCATAACAAGAAATTTGTGTTTTAGAAACCAACGAGTTAGCTCGATAGCAAGCTAGTTAGCTGGCTAATCACTTAGCTTCGTCACAAAAATCACTTTTGCCAATAAATGACTTAGGTAATTATATTAGGAATGTGACAATATTTAAAGTAGCTAAATATTTATTACAGAAACTAAATATTAAGCTGGCTAACTAAATATTTAGCTCTGAGTTAGCAAAATATTCAGTTAGCTCTGAGAAAGCTAAAAATTTAGTTTACAAGCCAGTTATTAGTTGGTTACTTAGATTTGGTTTGTTTACATGTTTATCTGATTAAAGATTGAGTTTGAAAGTGACATTAATAACTATAAAATATGGCTGAACATGAACAGAACTGGACCCTCACACCTGAGGAGGGTTGTTCTGCCTGAACCCTGGACCAGGATCCGGACCTGCAGCCGGTCCCACGGAGGCGAACCTGATGATGTCAGCGATGAGACATGAACACGTTTCCCATGAGTCTTTGCTGCCCTGCAGTGAATCACAGGAGCAAAAATAAGTGGTTCTGCTTTCAAAGAACTGAAAAAAAGAAAGAAGAAGTGACGACAGCGGCTGGTTCTTCCAGAAACGGATCAAAGTTCTGTCCACCGGACCCCGGATCAGACCAGAAGAACCGTGACAGACCTCCAGAAACGAGATGTTTTTAATTGAGTCACAAAAGGTCCAGGATTTCCATTGGTTTATGCTGGTTTTATATTTGAGATTTCCATCATATTATTCTCTCATCAAAAACATACCTGGAGCATTGCTTTGATTTAACCCTTTGACCCTTTCGATCTCCATGGCAACCATTCAGTCGAGCAAAGCGATTGGGTGGATCGAGCCCTGCCTTCCAGGCTCAGGCTCTCAGCTCCTTCAGACGGATCAATGAGCCTCTCAGCAGCCTGGGATGGAGAACAGTTTCACTGAAGCTTCAGACAAACCTCTTGTAACGGGTGATATGAGAAATTGAACCACATCGTTCTGAAGAGAACAGCTGCTACAACAGCAAACCACAGTGGATCGATACAGTGGATCGGTGCAGTGGATCGGTACAGTGGATCGATACAGTGGATCGGTGCAGTGGATCGATACAGTGGATCGGTGCAGTGGATCGGTACAGTGGATCGGTGCAGTGGATCGGTGCAGTGGATTGGTGCAGTGGATTGGTGCAGTGGATCGGTACAGTGGATCGGTACAGTGGATCGGTACAGTGGATCGGTGCAGTGGATCGGTACAGTGGATCGATACAGTGGATCGGTACAGTGGATCGGTACAGTGGATCGATACAGTGGATCGGTACAGTGGATCGATACAGTGGATCGGTACAGTGGATCGGTACAGTGGATCGGTACAGTGGATCGGTGCAGTGGATCGGTACAGTGGATCGATACAGTGGATCGGTACAGTGGATCGGTACAGTGGATCGGTACAGTGGATCGGCTGAACGCGTAATTGGTACAAAGAATACATTTCCAAATCTTTCTTAACTATAAAAGTCATAATCATATCCCATCATTTGCTCAAATAAGCAACTTCAATCTTAGAAATGGACAGTGGAAGGCAATATGACATGTGTATTTGAAAAATAAATGTTTAGTTTGGAACTGAATGTGTAGTTTGCAACTACATATTTAGCTTACTAACAAAATGTAAAATGTGACATTTTCAAATGAATTGTTTACATTTCAAATTAAATAATGAATTCTATTATACATATTTATGTTCATAAATATGCAATATAAACATAAATTTCTGTTTTAAAAATGCAATTTGAAAAATAAATATTTAGTTTGTGAACTTAATATTTACATTTCAACTTAAATATTTAGTTCTGATCTTTTTACATTTATGAACGTATGAATGAAATGGTGAAAATATGACTGAAGATTGATCCCTCCGGTTTTCTCAACAAACCAAATTATTTCTGCTGTTATTGTTTTCCTGTCATTTTAGAAAAGACGCCCAATAATAAATGATGATATGGAATAAAACTCATCGGTTGCTGATTGGCTGTTGACTCAACAGGTAGAAACCGGACTCGCTGTTGGGCTTAAGATGCGCGGGATGGATCACCATGGCAACGTAAACGCGGCTGCTTTTGAAACCGAACCGAGGTTCGGTTAAACCAGGAGACCCGGAAAATCCCGTTCAGCCCGCAGCGCTGAGTTCATGTAAGATCCAGAACCTGCTGCGGCTTCCTGTCCCGGTCAGCAGGCGTGTCCTGCCGCCCAGATTATAAATGAGTCCGCTGGTTCCGCTCAGGGTCTAAACCGGGCCGACGGACTTCACGGTGAGTTCTGCTTTTTTTCCCTCTGTGACTCCATGTGATGCTGATTCAGTTTGAAACATCTGCAGCAGCAAAAGACATTTTTACAGACACGTTTCAGCTTCCAGTAACTAAACATTATCAGATTTCTGATCACTTTCCAGCTTCTTCATGAAATAATTTGTGTCAAAAAAGTAAAAATTGCAAATGATGTTAATCATCAGTTATGTTTTGCTGCTGTTTAGCAAAAACAATAATCATTTTTTCTGATCTGGAACTTAAAAACATAAATGCTTCTGAAAGTTCAATAAAAATGAACATTTGAAGAAGAATTTGATGAGGAAACTTTTATAAATCAGTGGAAAATCAAAACATTTTCCAACTTCATTGTAAAAGAATTTGTGTCAAGATGCTAAAACATACCAAAAGTGTTAATAGTTCTGTGTTTCAATTAATTGTTTTTTTCTGATCTGAAACTTTTGTTAAATTGTGTTTTAAAGTTTAATAATAATAGACATTTTAGACAAAAGAAGAAGAATTTGCATTGAGGCTTCAAAGTGGGAGCTTCTGTGATTGGCTGCTTAGTTGTGACATCACAGAGGTAAAAAACAAACAGTTCAACCTGCTGTGTGACGTCAGAGCCCGTGTTCTTCAGACCAGGGTCGGTTCTGATCCATCGGCACTGATTGTTTTTAACCCTGTGTTGACAGATGTGCGTGTCACGGTACCTGCTCTATGTGGGCCACGCTCTGGTTCCCATGGCGGTCATCTGCATCGTGTCCAACATCCTGCTGCTGTTTCCAGAGATGACGTACCACTTCCTGTTGGATGGCCATGTGACCAGAGAGGCCACCTGGGCCACGGGTCTGTGGGCGTCCGGCTTCCTGGTGAGGTCGTGTGTGAAAGGTCGTTTGTGGAAGGTCGTGTGTGAAGGGTCGTGTGAAAGGTCATGTGTGAAAGGTCATGTGAAAGGTCGTGTGTGAAAGGTCGTGTGTGGAAGGTCGTGTGTGTATCTCATAGCGGTTTGGTTTCAGGTATTACTTGGAGCGGACGCCTTCCTCAAGCGCAGCAGAACCAGAGGCTTCATTGCTGCCCGCACTCAGGTGAGCTCCACCGCTGCAGCTCACTGACCCGCTAACATCTGGCCCGCTTCACCTCGGAACCAGGTGGAACCCGGGCCCAACATCTGCTCTCAGGTTTCACAGATCCAGTCCAAACCGCAAAAGGAACTACATCCAAAAAACAACCTGTTGTTACAGATGTGTGCTTTTGTTTCCAGATGTTTCCCAGCTGCAACAGATGTTTTTATGTTCTTCCAGATGTTCGGTCTGGTCATGTACTCCTGCCTGGGGCTGCTGGCTGCCTCCGTCTGCTGTGTGGTCAGCGCCACCGGTCTGGTCCAGGGTCCTCTGTGTCTCTACAACTCGTCCTCCGGTCTCACCTGGGGTGTCCCCCTGAAACCCGTCCCCGACAGGTGAGAGAGACCCGTCAGGTCCAGATGTTGTGGTTTCAGTCCAGATGTTTTAGTCTCAGTCCAGACGTTGTGGTCTGGGCCTCTGACCCTGTGTGACCCGGTTTTGCTGCAGTCACGCCGGGTACCTGTACAACCAGTCGATGTGGTCGGGGATCTGCTTGAAGCCGAAGTCGGTGGTGGAGTGGAATGTGGTTCTGTTCAGCATGATGGGGCTCTGCAGCGCCGCACAGGCCGTCCTCTGCGGGCTGAACATCCTGAACTCCCTGGCCGGGTTGGTTGTGGGCCAGGGGATCCGCCCACGACCAGGTGAGTGGGTGTGGCCAGACCTGAAGGCGACACCATCTTGGATTTCTGAACTGCCGATCCTCACCTGTAACTTCACCTTCCTGTGTTTTTGGTTTCAGCTCGCTCCGGATTCTGAATGAGGAAGTCAAGATTTTCACAGCAGACAACCTCAAACCCTTCAAAATAAAAGCACAGATGCACTTTACTCTCTGGCAATTCCAGAGAGTAAAACCTATTTATGTCTATCAGAAATGTAACATAAGTCAGATTGACAGAGTTCGCCAGCAGCCTGAAGATCAGAACGATTTAGATTTATGAAGGTTTTATTTATTCCTGTATTTAATAAAGCAAAAGACTCTGAATGCATGAACAACAAGTCAAAAGAAATAAGACAGTTTGGAAAAGTTTTTGAGTTTTCTTTCTTTTATCCGTCTTTATACATAAAAGTCCTGTTGCAATAAGCAATAAATTAATCACATGATAAAATAAAATGAATTCCTTGATTTCCATTTGCATAATTTATCATTTTTCTTTTTTCTGTCTTTCATTCTTTCTTTCTACCAAAACCAGGATGACAGACGTCTTCAGTTTGGTGCTGTGGTCTCAAACAGCCTTTTCTTCAAGGATAGTTTTTCTTCTATTGTTATGTTTATTCATGTGGACATTCATTATCCATTAGAATTTGAAGTTTATTCATCTTTCAGAATGTGGTCTTGCTTTATTACTATGCCATTGCCATTATATTACTCAAAAATGGTTTTGAAACAAGAGCTTATTACAATAACTTTTAAGATAATTTATTTGTCCAGACCTAATATGAAAAAAATATTTGACCACAGGAACAAGAGAAGATGTGTCGGATGTTTTTATGTCACATTACAGTAACATTATTTCAGCAAGATGTTGGGAGCAACAATGAGATTTTGTCACGCAGATGCAGCAGCCGATCAGAGAGCTCGTGGATAACAGGAAATTACATCACATTAAAAATAACCTCTACCCACCAATCAATGAACAGCTGGCAGATTTGACTCTGGCTTTAGTGAAGAACTTATTTATTTACCTTGCAGTGAATCCACACAGAGAGCTGAAAGGTTTCAGTCTGGACCACAACTGGACCCACCAGTTGGCACATTTCAAAAATCATGTCATAAAACTGATAACTCTTCATTTGAAACATACAATTGAAATTAAAGTTTAAAGCCCTAAGTCTTAAAAGCTTAAAGGAATTGTTAAAAAAAAAATTATATAAAGATGTACACATCTTAGAAAGGTAACAGCCAATAGAATAAGCGGCTTTAGTCAATGTCAGCCAATCACCTTGATTGTCCCGCCCTTATTTGCGTTTTGCCTCATTAGCTAGTTTGGTTAACGAGACCCGCTTGCTGACCTCTGGTAAGGTTCCGACTAAATTAATGGCACTACCTTTAATTATTCGATACTATATGATATTAATTGTTTGTTGTACTAAAAGCTTGAGGTAAACCTTGTGTGAAGTCTGGTGAAGCAGCCGAGCAGAGGACCGACGGCTGTTTTATGGTGAGTTCACATCGACCTCCCGGTCTGTTAGCCGCTATGCGAGCCGTAGCATCGCGTAGCTATTGTAAAGCTAGCTACGCTTTGCTATTGTAAACGTCAGACATTGTGCTTAAAATTGCTAGCATGCTGCCTCCAAGAGTTTCAGAACCAAAATAAAACAGGTAAAATACATATTTTCAGAATTGTAATTGTTTTTATCTACAAAGCTAACAAATTGTTTTAAACAGCTCTTTGTTACCTTAAAATACATATAATTTTTTAAGGTATGTATTGTGTTTTTTACCATACATGTATATTTTATTTGAGCTGTCGGATGAGAATAATGCTGTGTTCAGGACAAACATCGGTATTAAAATCTTGCCGTGTGAAGTATGCATTAGAGAAAAAGTGAGGAGCTCTGTCATCTGCTGTCTCCACATTGAGTCAGTTCAAGATGGCTCCTTGGTGTCTCCCTTTGCCCCACTCAGAGGAGACGTCAGGAAAATAAAAACTTCTTGCAGGGATCTTCCTGGGATGCCTTGGAATCCCCCAGTTTGAGCTAGAGGATGTTCAGCATGATGGGGCTATCATAGTCTGGATCAGTGAGGATGGATGGATTTCTTAACAACTTCTCAAGAATTGCCTTCATAATAGGAAAAATATACATCTTGGTATGGTCTCCTTTGCAGTTTTCATCAACCTGGAATAGTTTTTTTTAACAAGTGGGCCTGAGATTTCTCCTGAAAGACAGTCAGCCTGGTTTATGCAGATGCATTGCTGTCTAGTTGTATCCTCAGGCTACTGAAAGCTGTAGGTTTGATCTCGAGGAGGAAGACCCCAAGGAAGTGGAGGAAGAAAAGAAAAACTGGAAAGTGAACAGGAAGATTGCAATTCCTTTAATTACAAGGTCGATGAAAACAAACTAAGAAAAACAATGTTACATATATACCAAAACATAATAAGCTTAAGCTGTGGTCATTTTCAAGGCTAAAAATTATACACATTTTAATGGGTTTGCCATCAGTTTTCTGAGTGTGAACCCTCTGGTCTTTAACACGCTAAACCTCACCAGTTGACCGTGATGTTGTGCTGGGCGTCACGGCCTTGTTGAGGTTAATGCTCCTTAGCTGCTCCTCGTTGCTCCTCCTGGCCTCATTCTCCTCCTGATGGGCAACTCTGAGCCTCAGCCTCAGATGAACCCGAAAATCCTTGCAGAAGATGAAGTAAACAAGCGGATCCAGGCAGACATTAAGGATTGAAACAATGGTGGTGAACTCCATGAGGTAATGAAACACCCGATCCGAGGAGTACAGCTGGTGCAGAAACGTATACAGGAGTCGGATCAGGTGGTAAGGAACGAAGCAAATGCAGAAGATGCAGATGAGAACCAACATTTTCCTCCTGGACCTCTGAAGCTTCCTGGAGCCGAAGGAGGCGGACTGACTCTGCTGAGCCTGCAACACCCTGCGGGAGGCACTGTAGTAACTGAAAACCATTGAGAAGGACACCAACAGAAAGATGACGAAAGCACCGATGTGAAAAGTTCTATAGATCAGTTTGACGGAATCGCTGTGCAGGTCCTCACAGCTTTTTTCACAAGACCAGTCAGGTTTCCGGGATTTTAGCAGCACGGTGGAGTACACTGTCATCGGAGTCAGGAGAAAGACCCATGTGGTCAAGCAGGTGATGCATGCAGCTCGTTTGGTCAGCAGGAAGAAGGCTCCAAAAGGATGGACCACCTTAAAATACCTAAAGAGACAGAGAGGGGCGCTAAAGAGGTTCCTTTCTAAAATAAATCACCAGTTTCACAAAGAACTAAAGCTACTCTAATCACCACAACTATCTAAGTACTTAAGCAAGAACACAGAGGTGCAGCGGTCATGTAGTCTGCAGTAGAAACTCTAGTACCTGTTCAAAGCGATGTAGCCCATGAACAGGATGCTGGCGTACATGTTGAGGAACAGTATGGAGGCTCCAAAGCTGCAGTAGAGCAGGTGGATGGTGACAGATCTGGTTGCGTAGTGGATGATGCGAAGCGGCAGGCTGAGGCAGAGAAGAAAGTCAGCTGCTGTCAAGTTCTTCATGTAGATCATGAAGCTTTTCGAGGCGTTTCTTTGAGGTTGGCAGCAGTGAATCCACAAGGTGAAGCTGTTGAGTACCAAGGCCACCTGGTGAGAAAAACATTAGAAACTCTGGTTTGGACTGGACCGTATCTTTGAAGGCAGTGAGAAGACGAGGCGCTCACCAAAAAGAGCACACTGTAGACTAGGATGAAGACGAGATCAGTTGATCTGTCATCATGTTCACAGCAGACTGGATTGGTCGTGCTCTGGTTGGGAAGTGAGGCGTTACTGACTCCTGTGGTCACAGACCCTGGTGCAGACATGTTTCTGTAAGGAAGATGTTTTCTTAAAACCTCAGCAACTTACTTACTTACTTAGAAAGTCAATGGTTTTGTTCATTGAAAGAAGCACAGCCAAACCCTCTACAGCTCCCCCATCAATATTTCTAATTATGTTATACAAAACATGCAAACATATGTAGATCCTGGTGTGTGGATCTTTCCTTGGCCAGAGATTCTGCTGAAGGATTGGAGACGCCACACCTGCCTACAATCATCTCATGGTCTGCTGAGGATTTCAGGAGATTTGAGACGACTTGTCTGATTAGTCTGATCAGCCTCTCTAATATAGTCAAACCCATGTGTCGTTTTGCTTCAAGCCCTTTTACCTTTTTTTGTAAAACAGCTATCCTTTTCAGTTTGCTCCAGTTCAGACTTTATGCTTTCTGAAGCCGCCCAGTTTTAAGTCACCTTATTGGTTTCCACACCAACTCTGGATTCTTCTACCAAACCTTACATGACAGGGGTGAGCCAAGATTCGTGAGTTCGAATCTTGGCTCAATGACTCTTCTCCCTCTCTCACAACCCGCTTTTCTGTCTGACTACTGTCAAGTAAAGGCGACTAGAGCTGACAAAACCTTTTCCTTGCAGGTATAAAAAGCCTCTCTCCATATTGGATCTCCTTCCACCTCTACAGTCTTCAGTTGCTGCTCACTCACCAAATCCAGGGTTTCCCACAGTGTATCATAAACTTGCCAGGCTCGTTTTAAGAGCCACTGGCTGATTACTTCATTAGGATTTAACTGAAGTGCAAAAAAATGATCATAATTTGAATTGTTTTTCTTTTCTTTAGCTTTTTTCAGACTGTATAGTTGGTGTTTAAGTATTGTCATTAATATCTTTCAATAACACATAATTACCTTGTCCTGCTGGTGGACTGCCATCGCACCCTGCCACTGGGCTTAGCTAGTTTTCTGGGGAAAACCCTGAACTCTTTAACCTTGTTCAGGAACCATCTGTCTGGAACACAAACCGCCACCGAACAACCATTTCAACCACTTCTCAACACCTGCTTGGATTCTTTCATGGATGTTTGGAAATTTTATGGGTGTGTAGTTTCCCATGGCAGCTGTTTGGGTTTGTGAAACGGCTGCTTTCCACATGCAGCTCCTTCAAACTAGCAGCAGCAGAAATTAGCAAACACCTGGTGGAACTGTGCATCTCCTGATGCACTCGTGAAACTACTAGTCAGTCCAGCTCTCCGAATGCTTGTAGATACTTAATAGAGGAATGTTAATGTGATGAAAGTAGCTTGTTGGGAAGAGTGGAAGACTCTTAAAGACACAGAGGCCCACCTTCAGGGCTCTAAGTTGCGAACTGAAGTTTCTTGTAAGTGATGTTTGATATGCAGACTATTTTAACCTAAACCTAACGGCTTGATTGTGGCTGGAAAACACAATATACTGGTCCTTTAATGGCGGTAGCTCTTGCTTTATGTCAGACGCAACATGAAGCCACATGTATGCATGTTGAGTTTACCAGCCGTCATTCACCACCCAATGATTACTGTGAAATAAGACAAAAAATAAACCCACAGCTTTTCTTTGTGGTTTAGAAGCTGCAAGATCAAGTGATCAAGAACAATATGTGAAAAGTCATCTTAATACCTTCATCACTTATTGTAAAAATCTGTAAAAAAAAAAATTAAAGCACAAAAAAATAATTCAAATTCAACTGGACTGATATTTATCTTAAAGATTAACTTCACCTTTATATTTCTCTTTAATGAAGAATTGTTTTAGTTGAAATGCTGCAACAGAAACCAACCTGGGTTCCAAACTAGCAGAAAAAAATAAACTTCAACTGAAAGGCAGTTGAGACCAAAAAGACTGAATCCTATAGCTGGTCTTTATGGCTCCAGGTAGTTACAGGTCCGTTTGTTCTTCCTTTTCCCCGCTTCAGAACCGGGTACTTCCTGTGATATCTGCTCAGCATCTGCTTCGTTTCTGCTCAGAAAACTGAAAGTCTACCTGGAGAAGCTGATACTCTGATTCCTTAAGGTTCAGATCCTGTTGAAGTGCCTCAGCAAACGCCTGCCATGTTCCGATTGGTTGAGATAAGTTAGCGGCTGTTAGCTGTTACCCTGCAGTCCTGTGGGCTTCTTGGGATGTAGCAGAACAGAAACTTCTGACTTATGCTTCCTGTTTGTGACATGGCGTCTCACACCATTACACAGCAACAACAGATTTGCATGCCACTCTCAAATACCACATGTTGCAGTTATTTTTTTACAATATCTGTGTTTTGTAAACAGATTTTTTACCCAGACAGACTCTTCTGCAGAAAAGAGGAACGTTTTACTGCAATTAGTTAAAATAACTTTGTATGTTACAGAAAAATTGAAGTTCTCAGTCTCTGGGGTTTTTAAGGTAAATGAATGAATTAGAAACCATTGTTGGTTTCCTCTGGGATGAATTGACCATATAAACCACTTCATCATTAAAACCACCTGACACCAACACAGAGCATTTCCTCTAAGAGACGGGAGCATTTCCACAGTTTGACTCAACGCAGATGAGCTTTTGATTATATATTTACAATAAATAGATGATTGTTGAACTGGTAAAGGTCACAGTCTTGGACCAGGTTCTGATGTTTCACTCATCCGAACAGAAGTTACATGATCTGACCTGAAGACATTAGGACTTTCTAAGTCCTCTGAACTGGAATCCTAATATTTTATATGGTTTCTTTGGGTATGGAGATGGTAATTTTATGAGTACAAGGAGACAGAAGCAGAGACAGAAGTACCGGTGATTCTGAGGAATCTGCTTTGAGGAAGTTAACAGCCGTCAAACCTGAAGTGCCTCCACTCACCCGATTATCCACAACAAGCTTCCACATTTACTGTCAGTCTGACAAACTCCACCCCACCACACCAGACGACCCGCCTGCCTCCACCTCTCCATCCAGCTCTGCATAGAGGAGCATAAGCTCTTCTCAGGTGTTCCCACCTTCGAAGGAATGTTTAGCCTGGTTCCTGGAACCACAGCAGAGTGGATGTTGAGGGCAGTCTCTTCTGAGCTTCTTGGAAATATGAAGTTAAAAGGCTTAAATGAAGCCCAGACTCCCACTTTCAGGGGCTTAAAGATGGAATATCCTGCAGCGTCTCTGTCCAGAGATCATAACTGAAACAACATCAACTGATTTTAAAGCTGCACTATGTAACTTTTACAAAAATAAATGTTTTTTATTAGTTAAAACTGTCACAATGTCGTGACAATTTGATACAACACAGATAGTCTGTGAAAAGATCAATATCCTCCACCTCTCCTCTGAGCTATTATTGCCGTTTGAAGAAATGCTCCACTGGTAACCAAAAGCAGCCAATCAGAGGAGTGTCTGATTTGCTGTCAGAAAACCTATTTTCTTCTTCTCCGCAATTAGCAAAATGTGCTAACAGAGAGAAACAACCTAATGTACCAGGAAGACTGTCTATCCGCCATCATCGGTGGTCATGCTAACGAACCCGAGCGTTCACAACATGCTCTGCTGACAGGGACAAGATCTATCAAAACAGAAAGCAAGGGAGAGACTGAAAGCAGCATGTACATGAGAATGATTGACAGCGGTAAGACTCTCTTCCTGGCTCTTATTTGTTGTTTCTGACCGACCTGTGTATCTCTGCAGTTAGATCTCGGAGAAAGCAGAGGAGCTTAATTAAAGTATGTAAAACATGTTTTTTAAAATAATCTACATACCCAGCTTTCAGGACGCATTCACACCAGGCTTGTTCACTTCGCTTTAATTCAACTTCTGTCCGTCTGTCTGGAAAGTCCAGTTTGTTTAGAAAGATGTGATTGGGTAAATTTATTTAAACACCAAACTGTAGTTCGCCTAAAAACGTTGGGTTGACGTGAAACCGCTCTAAAAACAGGAAGCGGAATGCTCCTGTTACCCACAATGCCCAGGGCATTGTGGGTAATGCTCTGGGCATTACCCACAATGCCCAGGGCATTGTGGGTAAACACAACCAAAGCAAACACGTCAGCCTATCAGTAGTGGTAGAAATGGTAGTGGTCTTTAGCCAAAGACAAAATAGATATCGTACAACCGCTATAATCTGCCTCTTCCTCCCCCTCGGCTTTTAAACCAGACACTCAGAAATGTAGTTAAGGTCTGTGGATGTTAGAGAAAGAGTCATAATATGATTCATGTAGTTTTTGACGTTAAAAATAGTGTTTGTTTCACTCCACCGCTCGGCAGTACTGTGCTCTCTCGTGGGTTATATTTGTCCTTTATTGCAATGAATTATATCGTAACATCTTTTGTCTTGAAACATAAACTCTGAACACTTGAGATGACTTTCTTATTTCTCATTAAAATTACTGCAAAAATATGTCGTGCCTAAGGAAAGTACAACCTTTTCTCATTACTTAAGTTCTTTGATGCAACGACGCTGATGCAAGAAACATTTCTAATTGTCTGCTCAGCTATTGGAGCTGAAACCATCAGACCTGCATTAGGATTTTATTTATTATGGCTCCTGATTAATTAAAATAAACTTTTATATTTTCTCACAAGTCCCATGAACCAAACACAAACAGAAGGAATAAAATATCACTTTATTGTATTACTATTGGGTTGAAGTTTAATAGGAATATTCAGTTTCAACAAAAGTAATGATAGAAAATCTTGAAAATAAGAATAAACTTTACAGAAATTGCAAATTTACATCACAGGAAAAAAACAACAATTCATAGTTATTAAAAGTAGCAAACTCAGATTATAAGACATGATTACCTTATTTTAGAAGTAGAATGCGCCCCCCTGTGGACCATTGTTGCAATATCACTCCAAACTGTTTCTGATCTTGCATGGCTGTTGATCCCACTGCTACATTTTCCATGCATACTAAAGATCCCATTAGATCCCATTAGAGGCTCTTTGCCACCATAGAGCAGCAAGAGTTACATCCACTTAAGCTTAATATGAGAAATCTGAACAGAAACTACTAGACTTACAGAACGTTAGGGATATTTGGCCTTTGGGTGAAATCTGTGGTAAATGTAAGAACAATAATCTAATGTGAAAGTAGGCGCTTAAGTCAAAGTATGCAATGGTGATTGCTTCATTGCAGAAATGAAGCAATCACCATTGCAAAACGATACTGTTTCATGTGAACTTAGCCATCAATTACAATGGCAATGACATCTCGTGCTGTTGACAAGTAAACTTATCGTCTGCTGAGGCGTGATATACCTTCAAGTCATCATTTGAGCATTAGTGTCCCTCAGAATGAGTCTGACCTGCTGTTTGTGCAGAGACACAGTGACTGGGTTAAGGATGTTTTTCCATTCACTGTAGCAGGTCGTAACAGACCACACTGGAGTAAACTGATTCAAATGGCCTGACGTAACACTTCTCTCTGCACCTGGAGGTTAGTGCTAATCATCATCCATTTTTCAGGGCATTGCTCACAATGAAGCAGTAATCAACTTGGAATATGAACAAAGCATGTTCGCCTTGATGTCATCTTCCGACTTTCCCAGCATCTCTGTATCTATGCTGAGTACCATACTAATATTGTATGAAAATGTTTAATCAGAAACAAGTTGGACTGATGATTCCCGTTCTGTCCTCACTGAGCCCGGGGTGTTATACTGGTATTGATGGTGTTCATCTGACTCTCACTGTCTCCTGCCTCCGAACTGGAGGTGTTTCTGTTGCCTTTCATGCAGAATATTCGTTTCAGGTTAAGCTGAGCCCTGAACTCCTTACAAAGAAAAACATAAATTAGAGGATCCAGAATGATATTAAAAACTGACATTAAGACGGCCATCTCTTTGAGGTAGTACAACACGACTGAACACTGTCCTTTAAGTATGATGTATGGAATTCGAACAAAGTAATAAGGAACAAAGCAAAAGCAGAACACACTGACCAACAACAACATGTTCCTGCGAGATTTCATAAGCTTCTTGGAGCTGGAGGAGGTCAGTTGGATCTGCTGGATCTGCAGCACCCTGCGGGATGCGCTGTAGTAGAAGAAAACCAGAGAGAAGAGTCCTGACAAAAAGATGATGAAAGAAACAACATGACTTGCTGTGTAAAGTGGTCTTATGAGTTCTTTGAGTAGATGATCACAGGTGCCATGATCAGACTGTTGAGATGTGTGGTTGATTAGCACCAGGATGGAGTATGGTGTTATCATGGTCAAGAGAAAAACCCAGGAGGTCATCGAGATGATGTGGCTGGCTTTGGAAGACATCAGGAAGTGAGTTCCTGAGGAATAAAAAATCTTCATATACCTGTGGAGAAGGACAAGATAATGCTTCCTCAGGAGGATGAATCTAAGGAAAGACAGACAGTTGATCTTTTTTCCGAAGACGTTATGGTACTGCAGTTTGTGATAGTAAAGCAGGAGCTGAGGTAAAACTGGAGCTCTAGGCTGCATTCATACTGCCACTTGAAGTGACCCAAATAAAAAATTTTCTTGAAATGGGATTTTTTTGGCCCGATTGAACACACTTCAAAATACATGTGACTTATCTGCAACCTCTTGTGTGAACTGAAAACCACTTGAAACTTTCCCGCTTGCACAGTAGAAGGAGCTATAACATCACACGTAGTGTGGTTATGGTTGTTGTTTTGGCAACCAACATAAAAGAGGAAGTCGTTCTCAGTGTTTGCAGATGTGGACGCTCTGCACAAACAAGCACCGACCCTCATTGTGGTTCACATATCTGGGCGTTAATAGTGACGTTTGTCGAGTGATGCTATGCTGCTTTGACTGGGACAAATGGCTGATGCATCGTTAGAACTGATCTGTGAACTACACTACCACAAAATCTGATTTACGTCTCTGTGATGTATTTATTAATTTAGCTCACTTGCCAGCATTGATAGCTCATAAGAACATAAAATAGGACATATTTGACCCCTGCTTTAAATCTGCTCTTCATTAATTGCTTCGGTGGTAATTGAGTAAGATTGAGTAAGAGGTGCGGTACCTGTTAGCTGCTATATAGCTCATGAACAGGATGCTGGCAGCCATGTTGAGAAACAGCAGAGGGGCTCCAATGCTGCAGTAGAGCAGGTGAATAGTGAATGAGCTTCTGGCATAGTGAATAATGCGCAGAGGGAGGCTGACACAGAGCAGAGAGTCAGCCGCTGTCAGATGTTTCAGGTAGATCATCCAGCTCTTGGACGTTTGGCCATGAGCTCCACGGCAGTGAAACCACAAGGTGAAGCTGTTGAGGCTAAAGCCCACCTACAGACAAAATGATTGAGTTGATGGTGAAACCAAAACTTTAACTCATTTTTTCTTTAAATTGGATTGGTATAAGCTGAAGACCTGACCCTCACCAGAAACAGCAGACAGTAGATTAGTATTAGGAAAGGGTGGTATGATGTTTCCACTGAATCACACGTTTTGTTCTGCCCAGTGCCTGAGGAATTCGCTCCTTCCAGGTCTGCCATGGTTCTGCAGGTTTATGATGAGGAGTAAAACTCAGAGACTGTCTGCAAACATTCATTACCTCAGTTGTTTTAAGACCTGTCACCCTAACCTCTGTGGTCATGAAAGTCTGTCACCAAATATTGATGAAGCGTCCGAAGACCATCACAGAACTAACTGCTGGCAACCTTCAGTTTGTTTACGAGGAAAACAGATGACAGTCATCCTGAGACTTCACTTCATCCCGCACCACACTGACCACCCAACGGCGTATGTCAGGATCTGTTCGGGATTGAACCATCAACCCACCAGAAGCTCACAGTGCCAAACACCTCTGTTAACGGTTCACATGCTTTCTGACTTACTGGCACCAGTGAGGTGAAACTGAGGAGCATCTTTTGTAAAAGTTCTGACCTGGCTTTACGGAGACTCTATATATAGCAGCTTAATAACAATAAAAACATTAAATATATGTAAAAGAAATGTAACGAAACAAAATGGATCCCAAAGCTGTAAAAACCTGGAGCAAGCTGGATTTGGATACTTACAGCTGATTTTATCCGATCTTAGTCTGAGCACCAGAAGCTGAATCTTCAGAGCTTTTCCTGTCAGCATGAAGTCTCCTCAGAATTGAGGAAACTGTTGATCAACTGATTTTCACACTGAAAAAACTCTGTAATTTCCTTGTTTTAAATACTAGTTATACAAACTTATTCACAAGCTTCCTGGTTGGTTTACTTTCTTGTGAAGTAAATAGTTCAACTCTGACACTGAGTAACAGCCTACTTCCTATTCAGACCTCATAAACTTGTGAAGTAAATAGTTCAACTCTGACACGACTTCCTATTCAGACCTCATAAACTGAAACCAGACAAGTATTAATTTTTACATCACATGTGATCATGTGAAGTAAAACACATGTCAAGGAATTGCTTAGTTTTGCATTTATGGTGTTAATTTTCAGTTTAGAGAATCCCCTTTTGATTTGTTGTGACGTTTTAAATCATTAACTGCTGGTTTCAGATCAGATTGCTGGTCTGTATTTGGTGGCCTGATTACTGTTCTAGATTGTGTCTCCCTGCTTCTTCAGTGTCTCAATGGAGGGAAAAAAAAACACCAAAGTGAATGCATAGCACAGCATTTTTCTCATGTTTTGAAAAGGAGTCATAGAACAAGAAGACATGATCACAAAATCCCCTTTAGACAGTCACTAATGTCAGCTAACGCTAGTCATGAACCTCATCCGCTTAGCGACATGAGGTCTCTCAGTGGGAGAATATGTTAACCTAAAGACCTGATCTTTATTACGTCATGATGGGTAAGAAACTGTTTATATGTCTATCCATTTTTTATACCCAAGTACAATGAAATAAAGGTGAAGTTCTAAGTTGCAATGCAGACATAGAGATCAATTTTATCTCTTTAATTTTTATGTACTTTTTTGTATAATCTAGTGTTTAGCAAAACTGAAAGGATCAGACAAGATGAACATTTATATTACCCTCAAGTTTACTGTGAAATGAAATGTTAAACAAAAGCATGCTGAATAAAACAACCCTGCTTTAAGCTGTAACTGATCGCAGGACTAACATGGATACACTTAGGAAGCAATATGGAAATGCCAGATGAAGATTTCCTCAGGTGTTTAGTGAATAATGATTACAGATAGCCGTATTATGTGTATTTATAATCGGCATTTAGCTGCAAAGTACAATTTGCAGCCATTCAGAGTGATCATTGAATCACAGTAGTTACACAAAAAGTTGAATTGTGACTTTAAGAATGTGAGCGATGAATAATTTCTGAGAGCTACAACATTGTCGTCTTGCTGTTTTCTCGTTTCTCCTGTTTCAACAGGTCAGTGGATCCTCGCCTGGAACCTGCAGCAGATTCACGGCGACTCTTCTGCGATTGGCGCCACTGCTTTAGATGCACCGTTTGCTGGTCCGGCGCCTGCCCACAGAGTCAGTCATGTAACTAATGTAAGACTTCATTACATATTTGGTCCCATGATGCCTGGTTGAAATGTTAATAGAAACTCTGTATTTGATATAGCTGGTGATTTTTCCTGCTCTTATTAAATGGTAAAGTTTTTTGTTTTGGACCCCAGAAACTCTGCTGAGAGTGGCGAGCTGGAAGAACGAACATTTATCTCTGGATTTTGAACCCTTTGAGTTCCCATTTTGATTTTTGATTTTTTGAACCAAAAAAAGGCTGGGTTATTGAAAAAGTTCAAATGACAAATGACATTGAAAATCAACATTTTTTGGCCACAGATGTGATAGCAAAGTTAACATTATCTGTCAACTTTGTGCCGTCCTGTCGCATGTCTACCTCTACCAGCTCAAAATTTCACATGCACAAATTTCCATGGTTGCTTGGCAGGAGGAGAGAAAGCGATTGTCATTTAATCTTGCATCGTCCCATAGCAGGGACTCAATTAATAAGCTTGTGTTCAGAAATTATCCAGTTATGCTTTATATCACTTATTTCCACCCTCAATACCTCCACACCAACATACATACATGTAGCACATGCCATTTGTAAATGAACAGTGAGACACTCTGACCAGTGCCAGTCTTATTGCTCTCTTTGACCCTGGAGCTCTGACATGGTGTTGACGACATTCAGCTGATCTCCACTGCTACTTGCCTCCAAACTGGACGTGTTTCTCTTCCGTTTTGTACGGAATATTTTTTTCAGGTTAAGCTGAGCCCTGAACTCCTTACAAAGAAAGACGTAAATAAGCGGATCCAGACAGATGTTACAAACTGATAGTAAAACGGCAAACTCCTTGATGTAGTACAACTCTACCCAACAGTTTTTCTCAAGTATGATGTATGGAAGTCGAACAAAGTGATAAGGAACAAAGCAAAAGCAGAACACACTGACCAACACCAACATGTTCCTGCGAGACCTCGTAAGCTTCTTGGAGTTGGGGGAGGCCAGTTGGGCCTTCTCTATCTGCAGCACCCTGCGGGAGGTGCTGTAGTAGAAAAACACCAGAGAGATGAGTCCTGACAGGAAGACGATGAAAGTAAAAGCATGAATCGCTGTGTGCAGTGGTTTGACAGGTTCACTGATCAGATGGTCACACATAGTGTGTTCATCATCATGATGTTTCTCGTTGACCAGCATCATGATGGCGTAAGGTGTTGTTATGGCCAGGAGAACAACCCAGGTGGTTGTTGAGATGATGCGGCTGGCTTTGGCGCTCATCAGGATGTGACTTCCCGGGGAATAAAGTATCTTCAAGTATCTGTGGAGAAGAACAAAGATTCATTTGATTTGCTGGAGCTTGTAGCAACCTGAATTTCTGCAGGATGAAATACAAAAGTAAAGAAAAATTCATTGTAGATAGATGCTGAGCTTGTTTCTGGCTTACAGTTAAAATAACAAAATTTCTTTGTAATGTCGCCACATTCTTGCTCAGAAGGAGGATGAAGATAGAGATAGATGGACAGTTTGAATCTTTGTAACGTTGGCAATACCAATTTATGGTGGTAAAGATGGAGCTGCCAATTGTTATGAAGCAATTGGCTCTGATTTGCCTATCAATCGGTATAATAAAAGCTAAAAATGCAGTGTGAACATTTTTGTTGAAAATTGCAAAAGCACTTTAAGTCAACCGCCAAAGACTTTCATAAATGTATGAAATGGCCAGAAGCGGTACAATAAAGTAAAAGCCTGCAAAACATGAAAACAAAAACTGCTGTTGAGTAAAATCTTTCACTCTGTGTGAGAATTGTACCTGAAGATTAATAGAATTTGCTGCAGATGACAAAGCTAAACTGCAAAGTCACAGCAGCGTATAAGGTAGTGTTTCTCAATTCCAGTCCTCACACCCCTGGTGTTGCATGTTTCCTTTTGCCACATACCTGGATTGAATCTGTGGGTGATTAACAGCCTTCTGCAATACTTGATGACAGCAAAAGATGACATTCCATAATTTCCAATAGCTATTTTGCAATAGAGGCACATCTAAAACACGCAGACAAGGGTGGCATGAAGACTGGAATTGAGAATTACTGGTATAAGACAAGATGAGCTGAAAAGCTAAAGCTAGCTGAAATACTAATAAGATTTGGGCTATCACCAGCATGTTGACCTACAGTAACATATTTCATGCAGTCTGAAAACAACTAAGAGTTAAAATTACACATAAAGCTAAAGTACCCAAAATGCTAACATTTAGGCTAGCATTAGCCTATATTATCTATATAGAGATGATGCGGCTGGCTTTGGCGCACATTTTTAGCCGTCTATCCAAGTTAATTACTCTGACTGCAAATTATGTGGGACCTATGCTTTAAACAATAGTCAAAATTAATAATCTGGTTGGTAGTTGAGGTGCGGTACCTGTTAGCTGCTATATAGCTCATGAACAGGATGCTAGCAGCCATATTGAGGAACAGGAGCGGGGCTCCAATGCTGCAGTAGAACAGGTGAATGGTGAATGAGCTTCTGACATAGTGAATAATGCGCAGAGGGATGGTGACACAGAGCAGTAAATCAGCCGCTGTCAGATGTTTCAGGTAGATCATCCAGCTCTTGGACACTTGGCCATGAACTCCACGGCAGTGAAACCACAAGGTGAAGCTGTTGAGGCTAAAGCCCACCCTGTAGAGAAAATCATCAAATGATAAGTTGGTGAAACCAAAACCTTGAATGATTTTGCCTGATTTGGATTGGTGCAGCCCAAAGACATGATACTCACCAGGAACAGCAGGCTGTAGACCACTACCAGGAAAGAGTTGCATAATTTCACATCTAAATCACATGTCATATTCTGGACTGAGATGTTATGGATGGATGAAGTTGTTGCATTCATGATCCTGAAGTTGCAAAACACAACTGTAAAAGAAATCAGATGTTAGGATGGATGGATGGATGGATGGATGGATGATGGATGGATGGATGGATGGATGGATGGATGAATAATGGATGGATGGATAATGGATGGATGATGGATGGATAATGGATGGATGGATAATGGATGGATAATGGATGATGGATGGATGGATGGATGATGGATGGATGGATAATGGATGGATGATGGATGGATAATGGATGGATAATGGATGGATGATGGATGGATAATGGATGGATGGATGGATGGATGGATGGATGGATAATGGATGGATGGATAATGGATGGATAATGGATGGATAATGGATGATGGATGGATGGTAATGGATGGATGGATGATGGATGGATGGATGGATGGATGATGGATGGATGGATAATGGATGGATAATGGATGGATGGATGGATAATGGATGGATGGATGGATGGATAATGGATGGATGGATGGATGATGGATGGATGGATAATGGATGGATAATGGATGGATGGATGGATGATGGATGGATAATGGATGGATGGATGGATGATGGATGGATGGATGGATGGATGATGGATGGATGGATAATGGATGGATGGATGGATGGATGATGGATGGATGGATAATGGATGGATAATGGATGGATGGATGGATGATGGATGGATAATGGATGGATGGATGGATGATGGATGGATGGATGGATGGATAATGGATGGATGGATGGATTATGGATGGATGATGGATGGATGGATGATGGATGGATGGATGGATGGATGGATTATGGATGGATGATGGATGGATGGATAATGGATGGATGATGGATGGATAATGGATGGATAATGGATGGATGATGGATGGATGGATGGATTATGGATGGATTATGGATGGATGGTATCTGCCCTTTTTCATTTTCCAGTCTCGTCATAGAGCCTCAGTTATTTACAGGTCTGGGCTTTGAGGGCCATTTCAACACATGAATGTGTTTAATCTAAACTCTGGGTGTCAAACTTATTTTAATTTCAGGCCCCACCAACATCATGAATGTCCCCAAAGGATTGGTTGTAGAATAAAGAATGTGCTGCAATGTAATGTCCAAATTTCAACATCAATATTGTTCTGGCATTAAAAGTAGCGTACTTTGATCCAAAAGAATGTGGAGCTGAGTACGTCCATTTTAAATTGTACAAAATGGGCATGTATTTTTGCACACAGTTACTTGTGGGATTCCTCAAGGATCAGTCCTGGCACCCACTATTTTCATCCTCTACATGTTTCCCCTTGGCAAAATTATCTCCTGTTTTGGTGAAGCATTTCATTTCTATGCAGATGACACACAACTTTATATTGAAGCAGATGCTCACTGATCTTCTGTCTCTTCATCCGCTTCACCTCCATCATCACGCTCTACACTCTCTGACTGGAGGAGATAAAGACTGAAATGCCCAGAATCTCCTTTAATGATCCAAAACAGGAGTTTTGTGGTGGCCTCTAAACATCAGTTATCCACCATGACCTTATGGTCAGAACATTGCTCTCCTCTTCGGTTCCCATTCTTGGTGCACACTTTGACTGACCTCTAATTTGACGCCAGTGTAAAATACATCTGCAATACTTTGTTCTTTCATCAGGAAAATATAAAAAATCAACATTCATCTTTTACTCATCTGGCTGCTGAAAAACTATCCATGCACTAATCCTTTCGAGGCTGGATTATTGCAGTTCCTTGCTATTTGGAATTTCAAATATAATAATATTATATAGTACATAGTCACAGTTAAATAGGAAGCGTGTGAGATGTGTGTGAGATGAGCAACCCGGATGTCTGAAGTCCCAGAAAACAGAAATACTCCAGCTAAAGTTCTCAGAATGAAATGGGGAGAGGAGACCCTTTCAAGAAGCTTAAAAAAAGAGAGCATTTATTTTCTTATGTTGACCGACAGAAAGTACTTTAAAATTGTTTTTGTTGTCTTTGAAGATTTTCTTCAGTATTTTTGTTCACTGTTCACATACGTGGATTTTCCACCCATACTTGTCCCTCCCTTCCTGTCTCGTCCATGTGTAAAATATTCTAGCTCAGCGATAAAAGCAGCTCCTCAATGGTCTTGGATAAAATTAATAATCATTACAACATCAAATGTACATAAAATAAATGTAGTAAAATGGAAACATCAAAATTCTACAAAGACAATCCCAAAGCTGAAAAAATCTGTCTGAAAGTACTTACAGCGGCGTTTGTTCTTCGTCTCTCAGCTTCAGTCTGGAGAGACGAGCTACAAGAGGCAGTTTCCTGATTTTGGCAGAGATGAATGCTATCTGCTAGAACTCTTCTCAGCTACCACATATAATCTATTCTTATTGATTAAAATAACAGGAAACAAATTAACTTGTAAACTTCCTGAATGCTTAGTGGTTTATCTTGGGCTGTATGAGTCATCTGAGGTTTTACTGAGTGACCTATTTATTGAATGTGGATTATTTTACACAAGGTGTGAAATTCATCTGTACCGTCATTCTGCATCTAGCATCAAATATTGTTTCTTTGGATCTATTGGCCTTTATTTATAATTATCTTTACTCTGTATTAGATGCGCATGCTTTACCACTGCACTGCCATATATATATATATATATATATATATATATATATATATATATATATATATATATATATATATATATATATATATACACTCGGGTATATATATACCCAAGTATATATATATATTCTGGACTGAGATGTCTGATGTTGTTCCTGGGATCTGTTGTAGCCACTGCTCCAGTTTGGGGGTTACTGCCCCGAGGGCCCCGATGACCACAGGCACCACTGTGGTCTTCACCTTCCAGGCCCTCTCCAGTTCTTCCCTGAGGCCCTGGTATTTCTCAAGTTTCTCCTTTTTCCTGATGTTGCAATCACTTGGTATTGCTACATCTACCACAACGGCTTTCCTCTGTTGTTTATCCACTACGACAATGTCTGGTTGGTTCGCCATTACCATTCTGTCTGTCTGGATCTGGAAGTCCCACAGGATCTTAGCTCTGGTGTTCTCTACCACCTTTGGGGGTGTTTCCCACTTTGATCTCGGGGTTTCCAGTCCATATTCTGCACAGATGTTTCTGTACACTATGCCTGCCACTTGGTTATGTCGCTCCATGTACGCTTTCCCTGCCAGTATCTTGCACCCTGCTGTGATGTGCTGGACTGTCTCAGGGGCCTCCTTGCACAACCTACACCTTGGGTCTTGTCTGGTGTGGTAGATCTGGGCCTCTATTGCTCTGGTGTTTAGGGCCTGTTCCTGGGCGGCCAGGATGAGGGCCTCTGTGCTGTCCTTGAGTCCAGCTTTTTCCAGCCATTGGTAGGATTTACTGATATCAGCCACTTGGGTTATTTGCTGGTGGTACATCCCATGTAGGGGCTTGTCCTCCCATGATGGTATCTCTGGCACCTCAACCTCCGTTCCCTGTTGTCTGAGACATTCACTGAGCACATTGTCTGTTGAGGCTTTGTCACTGATGTATTTATGGATCTTAGTTGTTTCGTCCTGGACAGTGGTTCTCACACTCACTAGTCCTCTGCCTCCTTCCTTGCGGCTCGTGTACAGTCTCAGGGTGCTGGATTTGGGATGGAACCCTCCATGCATGGTTAGTAGCTTTCTAGTCTTAATATCTGTGGCTTTTATCTCCTCTGATTACTGGCAGGGCATAGCTGTTTATCGCACTGATTTTGTTCTTGCCATTGAGCTGGCTTCTCAGGACTTGCCTTATTCGTTGGAGGTATTTAGCTGTGGCTCCTTTCCTTGTGGCCTCATCGAGGTTGCCATTTGCTTGTGGTATACCTAGGTACTTGTAGCTGTCCTCTATTTCTGCTATTGTTCCTTGTGGGAGTGAGACTCCTTCTGTGCGGATCACCTTCCCCCTCTTTGTGATCAGCCGACCACACTTCTCTAGTCCGAATGACATTCCAATGTCAGTGCTGTAGATCCTGGTGGTATGGATCAGTGAGTCGATGTCTCGCTCACTCTTGGCGTACAGCTTGATGTCATCCATGTAGAGGAGGTGACTGATGTTGGCCCCATTTTTGAGTCGGTATCCGTAGCCAGTCTTGTTGATAATTTGGCTGAGGGGGTTCTGCATAGGCCTGAACCCCCTCAGCCAAATATATAATATATATATATATATATATATATATATATATATATATATATATATGTATGTACACGTCTCTAGAAACAATTTAAACCTTTTAAAATTGATCACTTTCTGTAATTTCCAACTTCCCCTTTATCAGCAAAGTTAATGAAAAAGCTGTGTGTAAATGGTTAAATGGCTTTCTAACGATAACCAATCGCTTTGACTCCTTCCAGTCTGGTTCTCTAATGACTGGGATGAACATGTTTCCGTCTTGAAAACTGTGTTACATGGAGCATCTCCAATGCTTAACCTTGCAAAATGCGAATTTGGAAAAGCCATGTTTACTTGGCCGGTAGGTTGGCCTTGGAGGCTCAGGTTGATCCGACTCTCACATATCCTGTTCCCTCTAACAAAACGTGATTTCAATCATTTTCTAGGAATGTTTGGTTACTATGGCAGTAGATACTTTCCCTTTGCTGACAGTTTATTTTCTCACGTCATTTTGTCTTTACTGAAGCAGACTTCAGAGATTGGAAACATCATATATTTTCTCACTATATTCTCTCAGGTGACCCATGAAACCAACAGCACAGGTTAGTCATTTATTGTCCACAGCAGGAAATTCATCTGTTCCAGCTGAAAGTTGGAGGTAAATGGAAGCAGAGAGGTTCAATTAATAAGCTTGTGTTCAGAAATTATCCAGTTATGCTTTATATCACTTAAGTACATTCTTAATACCTCCACACCAACATACATACATGTAGCACATGCCATTTGTAAATGAACAGTGAGACACTCTGACCAGTGCCAGTCTTATTGCTCTCTTTGACCCTGGAGCTCTGACATGGTGTTGACGACATTCAGCTGATCTCCACTGCTACTTGCCTCCAAACTGGACGTGTTTCTCTTCCGTTTTGTACGGAATATTTTTTTCAGGTTAAGCTGAGCCCTGAACTCCTTACAAAGAAAGACGTAAATAAGCGGATCCAGACAGATGTTACAAATTGATAGTAAAACGGCAAACTCCTTGATGTAGTACAACTCTACCCAACAGTTTTTCTCAAGTATGATGTATGGAATTTGAACAATGTGATAAGGAACAAAGCAAAAGCAGAACACACTGACCAACACCAACATGTTCCTGCGAGACCTCATAAGCTTCTTGGAGTTGGGGGAGGCCAGTTGGGCCTTCTCTATCTGCAGCACCCTGCGGGAGGTGCTGTAGTAGAAAAAGACCAGAGAGACGAATCCTGACAGGAAGATGACTAAAGCAACACCATGACTCAGTACGTGCAGTGGTTTGACAGGTTCACTGATCAGATGGTCACACATAGTGTGTTCATCATCATGATGTTTCTCGTTGACCAGCATCATGATGGCGTAAGGTGTTGTTATGGCCAGGAGAACAACCCAGGTGGTTGTTGAGATGATGCGGCTGGCTTTGGCGCTCATCAGGATGTGACTTCCCGGGGAATAAAGTATCTTCAAGTACCTGTGGAGAAGAACAAAGATTCATTTGATATGCTGGACCTTGTAGCAACCTGAATTTCTGCAGGATGAAACACAAAAGTGAATGCAGTCCTTTATAAAATCATTGTAGATGGATGCTGAGCTTGGTTCTGGCTCTACTGCATGTTTCTTACAGTTAAAATAATGACATTTCTTTGTAATGTCGCCACATTCTTGCTCAGAAGGAGGATGAAGCTAAGGACCGATAATTTATTGTCTATCCCTAATTTATGGTTGTAGAGATGGAGCAATTATGTAACAATTGGATCTGGTTAGGCTATGAATAGCTACATATTTGACATGGAGCGTTTCTATTTTGTTCAATATAGATATAAAGCTAAAGTAGCCATAGTACTAATGCTAACATTTAGGCTTAGCATTAGCCACCTCAGATTATCCGTCTATCCAAGTTAATTACTCTAACTGCAAAGCGTGTGGGACCTATGCTTTAAACAATAGTCTAAATTAATAATCAGGTTGGTAGTTGAGGTGAGGTACCTGTTAGATGCTATATATGCCATAAACAGGATGCTAGCAGCCCAATTCACGAACAATAGAGTGGCTCCAATGCTGCAGTAGAGCAGGTGGACGATGAATGAGCTTCTGGAGTAGTAAACGATGCGCAGGGGGAGGGTGATGCAGAGCAGAAAGTCAGCCGCTGTCAGATGTTTCAGGTAGATCATCCAGCTCTTGGACATTTGGCCATGAGCTCCACGGCAGTGAAACCACAAGGTGAAGCTGTTGAGGCAAAAGCCCACCTGTTGAAAAACCCATCAATCATTTGAATGATTTTTGCCTATATTGGTTTGGTGCAGCCCAAAGACACGATACTCACTATGAACAGTAGGCTGTAGACCACTACTAGGAAAGAGTGGTATGATTGTACATCTAAATCACATGTGATGTTGTGGAAACCATGTGGTTCATGGTTGTGGACGTGTGATTCATGGGTGGATGCAGCCATGGTTCTGAAGCCGTGTCATTAGCAGCAAAACCGAACTGTCAAAGAAATCACACGGTAATAAGGATGAATGCATGGAGAGCATCTGCTTTTATTCATTTTCTAGTCATTATCAGCTCTATTAAAGACACAACTAGGTCCATATGAGAAAAAAAGAAAATAGAGACAATTTTAAAAAATTAAATCACATAAAAAAATTGAAATCAGAAATTCACTGTCACTGATTTATAGGGAGGCTAAATCGCCAGTTGCTCCACATTTTGGACTTAAACCTAACTGAGCATTGTGCTACATCCGTTGGTATCAGGATGATATTTGTAGAAACACGTAATCTAGACATAAATCTGTACATAAGGTTTTGTAATACAGCATGAAATATGGGGACACCACCAAATAACGCATCCTCACTAGCATCCTCACTAGCATCCTCACTAGCATCCTCACTAGCATCCTCACTAGCATCCTCACTAGCATCCTCACTAGCATCCTCACTAGCATCCTGACTAGCATCCTCACTAGCATCCTCACTAGCATCCTGACTAGCATCCTCACTAGCATCCTGACGAGCATCCTCACTAGCATCCTGACTAGCGTCCTCACTAGCATCCTCACTCCACCATTGCAAGCCACTGAGTTTCTGTAAACTGTTTTGCTGGTACTTTCTCCATAAGTGAGCAGCACAACAGAGCACACAATGCTTTAAAGAGCCACGTTAACTGAGACATCCTGAATTGGCGTACCGGCATGTTGGCTTGTGCAGACATTAAATGACGTCTATAAACGTCCTGATCATCAGTCAGATCATCAGTTATATTATGTCCCAGGTATTTAGCAGCAGCACACACTTTAACAACAATGCCAGAATATAAGAAGCCAGGAAGTACAAACTTCTGATCTTCCTTGTTCTTATGATCACAATGTTGCTCTTCAATGCATTAGTCTTGCCATACATCCTCAGTTGTTCATTGGTCTGGCCTTTGAGTGCCATAAATTGCTCAAAATGTGCATGTTTGCACATTAAAAAATATATATTTTCAGTAGGGACCATAAAATTTGTGCCACTAAAGATATCCAAATGCTTATTTTATTTTTAAATATATTTAATCTAAATCTATTCTACGCTTTATCTTAATATATGGTGTCTGCAAGCTCTTTGAGTTGCCTTTGGCTGAAAGGTCCTGTATGAATAAAGTTGCCTTGTCAAAGATTTTATTTAAATTAGTAAAACTGTAAATAACTGTTTGAATACCAGCACTTACTGAATTTGTTTGGAGCTGTGATGGTTATAAACTTTCTGCTGGGTGGAAAGATTTCCTTTAACGTTAGGATTCAACAATATGTCAATGAAGGAGCTAAACAGTTCAGCAACAATTTGTGTTGTTGTGTGTCAAAACTTTTTTCATTTCCCCGCCAACATCATGAATGTCCTCAGAGTCTTGCCATCCTGCCTTCACCTCTTGCCACGCCCTTCCTGTCCCATCCAGGTGTAACATTTCAGCCACTCGGCTATTAGAGCAGTTCAACAACGGTCTTGGACGAAATTAATAATCACTAAAGCATCACATGTGCATAAGATAAATAGTGAAGTGGAAACATCTCAGCTGTTGACTGAAAAGCTGTTTCTCAGCTTCAGCAGCTTTCTGTCTCCTCAGTCTGGAGAAACCAGAGGCAGTTTTCTCACTCTCCGAGTTATTAATGCTATCTGCTAGAAACCTTCTCTGCTGCCATGTTTCCTTTCATCTTATTGACTTAAGTAACAGAAAACAAATCTATTTCCATCAAGCCCCCCTATGTAATATGGAAATCTTGTCATATGTTCTTGTGACAGGAAGTAGGTGGATTCAGAGTAATTGCTTGGGCCAATAGACGCTCATTATAACAGCTAAAGTTATCTGTTGACTGATATGTTGTGCTGTCAGGTCTTGAATCTTATTGCTGGCTGGCATTTCCAGCCCTTTAAAGATGGTAGCATCAACAGGTTCTGGGCCCAGGAAGGAGTTTGGGAGCCGATGGGACTGATTGTTTTTTAATGGAGATGAAATGAAATATGAGTTTTTGGCCCAATGTTTGATCTGAAGAGCACCATATTATCGAAAGGAGAACCTGATGACGGCACTGAAAACGAAGACCCGCACACAGAACTAATTCAAGTCTTGGACGATGAGAGTCTTGCCCTTGTCATGCCAGACGCTGCGGATGATGGCAGAAAAGCCGGAGCTGATGTCTCTTCAGAGGAACCACGCGTTCGCTTTCGACATGAAGCAGCTGGACGATGCCCAGACCTACGGTGTGAAGGTCAAAGGCCACATGACGCCAAATTTAAGGATTTCAACTCAACTATTAAACCTCATGTTCTGGAGTTGGCTGATGGTGTGAGGGCAGTGGCATCGCGCTGACGAAAGGCACCGCAGAGTTGAGAAAAAGCCAAATTGTGGAGAGTCCTTAATAGTAGGCTGGTAAAGTTCACAGCAAAAAGTGACTGATGAAGACATAAATGAGGACATTGTACTCAAAAGAGCGTTGAGATTTGACAACAATTAACTCAAAGGAGATCAAGATTGAGACTTGTGAAGGTAACGTTGGTGAAGGTTATCCTGAGAGAGAATAACGGATCAATAACGGATGACATGAGACGTGAGGACGGCCGAGCGAACGTGTTGCTATAGGATCGTATCTGATGTGAGGCTAAGAGCTCACCCCAATCAGAGCCTTGGGCTGTTTGACAGAGAATAATACTGACACTATCAGCATTACCTGCATAAACAAGCAGATGGGTATTTGCTAATAAAGAAAATCCAGTTGAGACACTTTATGAAGCTGGACATGTAGCAAACGGCTACATTCAGGTTACTGGTATCGACTATCATGACTTTGTCCCCGACTGCTGATATGACATCTGTTCTAATTGCACCACATGGATGTATAGCGTCATATTTACACGCCTCTATCGATTTTTAGAACAATCTGCAGGATTTGAAGTGGAGACTGAGACGGGAGAGAAATTAGTAATAAGTCACTTCATGGTCTGAAACAGTCGGGACGAAATTGGAGTAAAATGTTGCATGATTTCCTTATTGATAATGACTTTGTGCAGAAACCTGCAGACTGTTGAGAGTATGACCTGTTGTTGCAAACCAGGATGAAGTTTTACTGATGGTTTTTATGAGATTTAATTCCTTTAGCTACATATCACCACCATAAGAGCTGGAATACAAGATGTCTGTAACTATTCATTAACTAGTCATTCTTATAAGTCTATGCCAAACATATTAAACCAATATACATGACAGTAAAGGAGTTTTCACACCTTTTGACTCGAGAGGGCTGCCAGCATGAAGCGATGTTGCCGTTTCCTCCATGAAACAAACTGCTCCACTAACTGTTGTACTAACTGCTCTAACCGCTGCGGGTCACTAACTTCTGCATTTGAGGGAAAACAAACTAACAGTTACACTGCAGCACTGGGCAGAAAATGCAAAGTCAAAAATTAAAAGTATACAGCTCTAATCAGAATTCAGACATTACTGGCAAAATGAAACATTCAAATTTACTGCAATGAAAAACATGATTATTTACTGGGAGGGTAATGTAGATTATTTGGGTTGATGACCTTATTATTGCAGCAAGTAATGATCAGATACTCAGCAGTCCTTCAGGTGTCCTGCAGGTTTTAAATGCTACAGATAGAAAACACTGGAATGAAATGGCTGAATTTTGCACAGAACAGTGAAGTAAAAATGGACCAGGCTCTGACCTCTCCATGACCTTTGGTCTGGTCTCTGGTGTCGACCAGCACTGAGTGTTTTTTAATGTCACTGATTTGAGCTTGAGCTGTTAGGAGGCGCCATCTTCCCTCTGCAGTGATCGATCCTTTGATTGAGAGTGTTGCCAAAGATTCCCCGTTTTCTAATCTGTCTGACCATTTTTCAACAAACTGAAATCTAACCTGGAGCATGGAGCTCCGTTAGTTTCAAAAAAACGTTTTTAATAAACAGCTATGCCCATGGAAAAATTAAGATATAAAGAAACTCAAAAGAAACTGCAGGAAAGCAGAGAGGAAACGGAGGGAAAACAAACTGGCAATTGATTACCAAGCAATGCGCTGACAGCTTAACGTATACAACTCTGCTGTCCAAAATTCAAGAAATGAAGATTTTTCCAAAATAATGGGGTCACAAAAAAAAATTCCCAAAGTTTTGATTTTCACCATCAATAATGTGATTAACCCAAACTTCACTGCTTATCCACAGACGGCCGCTGACTCTTTGTGAAGAGTTTCAAATCATTTCAGAGGAAAGATCAAGCCAATCAGAGCTGGCGATTAAATTGTGCTCTTCAGATGGGATTCTTCCCACTCCCTTTAAAATGGTCCAGAAGAGTAATCTGGATCCTCGTGTTTTTATTCATCACAGAAATGTATTCAACTTACGATTTTTAAGCAACATTTTAAAAAAATATTGTTTTTATTCAATTAAATACTTTTTCAAATGACACTGGCCTTTTAGAAAAGAATCAATCTGGCTTTAGAATGAACCACAGTACAGAGACGGCTCTTTTAAAAAAGATCAATAGGTGTAATCTGGATTCACATGTTATTGATCTGATGCAGTGGATCACCAAATTATTTCCTACAATAAACAAAATACAGACAATAAGCTCAAGGTGTCGTATTGTTACACTTTGCACTACACCATTGTACCTCATATAAAGAAATAAGGAAATAAAAAAAACAAATAAGCTAAATATTTAAATCAATATTAATAATCAGAATTAAGGCAAGTTAACTCCACAGTTAAGTAATACCCAGGCCTCCACCAGGCAGAGTGGATGAATATTCAGCACAATGCTATACAATACAGACATATTGAAATTAGCTCAGACTTAGCAACAGGTGAAAATAATCAGCAAATAGGATTCTAATTACTCATTTAGCTTCAGTAAGCACCCAAAATATCACTTTACTAGTCAGTGAAACACTGATGCATGTTAGCACAGTGGTTCCTCTACCGAACTCGCCCAAAAGATGTCAGCAACGTTACAACAACGTTGGATACAGTAACACAATGACGTCAGCAGACAGATTCAGCTAATAAACTTGTTCTTCAAAAATTATCCAGTTATGCTTTATATCACTTATTTCCACCCTCAATACCTCCACACCAACATACATACATGTAGCACATGCCATTTGTAAATGAACAGTGAGACACTCTGACCAGTGCCAGTCTTATTGTTCTCTTTGACCCTGGAGCTCTGACATGGTGTTGACGACATTCAGCTGATCTCCACTGCTACTTAGAATAGAATAGAATAGAATAGAATAGAATAGCATTTATTGTCATTGAACAGGATTCAACGAAATTTCTATTGCAACTCCCGTGCAAAAAGTCAAAAATACAATATTAAATAAACAAATACACAATAATAATATATATACAACTAAAATTAACTAAAGGCACTCAACCACACCAAAGAAGAAGCAGCAGGTCCAATTATGGTAAAGTGCAGATGATGTGACAGTGCAAGTGCAATGGCTGTGTGTGGGGGGGGGGGTATGTGAGGTTATGATATGTGTGGGAGGGGGCGGCAGGGAGTAATGGCTCTGACGGCTGTGGGGAAGAAACTGTTTCTCAGTCTGTTTGTTGTAGTCCGTATATTCCTGAACCGCTTGCCTGATGGCAGCGGCACAAACAGTCTGTGGCCCGGGTGGCTTGAATCCATGGCTATGGATCCAGCTCTCTTCTTGACCCGGCCTATGTAAATAGAGTCCAGGTCCGGGAGGGGGCATCCCACAATGCCTTGTGCTGTTCTCACCACCCGTGTCAGTTGTTTCCTCTCCAGTGCTGTGCAGCTACCATACCACACAGTCACGTTGAGGCAGAGGACGCTCTCGATCGTCGCCCTGTAAAAGTTCACGAGCAGCCGTGAGGAAAGTCCAGCCCGTCTCAGTTTCCTGAGGAAGAAGAGCCTTTGTTGTGCTTTCTTCACCAGGTGGGAGGTGTTGGTATTCCAGGAGAGGTCAGACGTGATGTGGAGGCCCAGGAACTTGATGTTGTCAACACGCTCCACCTCTTCTCCATCTATGAGAAGGGGAGTGTGACCCGTCCTCCTGGACCTTCTGTAGTCCACAATGACCTCCTTGGTCTTCCCTGTGTTCAGCACCAAGTTATTGGCTGAACACCACTGAGTGAGCTGCTGAATTTCCTCTCTGTAGTGGGTCTCGTTGTTGTCTGAAATGAGACCCACTACTGTTGTGAACTTGACGACTGTGTTGGTGGGGTGGATGGCAACGCAGTCGTGTGTAAACAGGGTGAAGAGAGCTGGGCTGAGCACACAGCCCTGCGGTGTGCCTGTGTTGAGGACCAGTGGGGACGATGTTGAGCCACCTATTCTCACCACCTGAGGCCTGTTGGTGAGGAAGTCTCTGATCCAGTGGCACAGTGAAGCAGGCAGCCCCACCTTGAGTAGCTTCAGCACCAGCTTGTCTGGGATGACGGTGTTAAATGCTGAGCTGAAGTCTACAAATAGCATCCTGACGTAGGTGTTGGGATGCTGCAGATGGGTCAGGGCTGTGTGCAGAGTGATGGAGACAGCATCCTCTGTTGACCGGTTCGCTCTGTAGGCGAACTGGAGGCTGTCCAGGTCTGCAGGGATGAAGTGTCTGATGTACCTCAGAAGAATCCTCTCAAAGCACTTCATGATCACTGGGGTCAGAGCGACGGGCCGGTAATCGTTCAGGCTGGTGATGGTCGTCTTCTTCGGTACAGGGATGATGGTGGAAGACTTGAGACACTTAGGAACCATGGTGAACTGCAGGGACAGATTGAAAATGTCCAGAAACACTCCTGCCAGCTGGTCGGCGCACGTTTTCAGCGTCTGGCCTGACACCTTGTCCGGTCCTGTAGCTTTGCGGGTGTTGATCCTCCTCAGGGTGGACGTCACCTGGTGCTGCTGCAGGACGAGAGGCTGGTACTGCTCTTCCAGTCGGGGTAGATGTACAGCTTCTCTGCTGCCCACTGTGTCAAAGCGGGCAAAGAAGCTGTTTAAGGTGTCAGGCAGGGTGGGGTCGCGGCTGGTCAGCTGAGTGCTGTGTTTGTAGTCCGTCATGGTCCTGATGCCTCTCCACATGCTTCGGGGGTTGTTGTTGATGAAGTGTTCCTCAATCCGCTGTTTGTACTGGAGCTTGGCCTGCTTAATTCCTTTTTTCAGTTCTGACCGGGCTCTGCTATAAGCCAACCTGTCTCCAGATCTGTAGGCAGCATCCCGGGCTTTCAGCAGGGCCCGTACTGTGCTGTCCAGCCATGGTTTCTGGTTTGGAAACACTTTTATGGTCTTAACAGGGAGGACAGCATCGGTGCAGAACTGAATATAGGACAGAACGGACGATGAGTATTCCTCCAAGTCTGCTCCGTCCCTGAACACACTCCAGTCTGTGTGCTCAAAGCAGTCCTGAAGTGCAGAGGAGGCCTCCTCAGTCCAGACCTGAACTATTCTGGTGGTCGGCTTAGTTCTGCAGGCCAGAGGCTTGTAGACAGGAATCAGCTCCACTGAGATGTGGTCAGACATGCCCAGATGTGGACCTGCTACAGCCTTGTAGGCTCCGGGGGTATTGCAGTAAACCTGATCCAAAATGTTATTGTCTCTGGTGGGAAAGTTTATGGACTTGTGGAATTTGGGAAACACAGCCTTCAGTTCCACGTGGTTAAAGTCCCCCGCCACAATCATGGCCGCCTCCGGGTTGGAGTTCATCTGCCCGCTGATCAGGCAGTATAGCTCCTCTAATGCTAACTTAGCATTAGCCCGCGGTGGTATGTAGACGGCCACGATCACAATGGACGAGAGTTCTCTCACCAACTTGAAGGGTCTGCATTTCACCGCCAGATATTCCAAGTCAGGAGAGCAGAATGTGCCGACAGAGTGTGTGGCTGTACACCAGGCATTGTGTACATACAATGCCAAACCTCCGCCTCTGCTCTTACCCGAAGCTGCCGTCCGATCCGCCCGGAACAGAGCGCGCCCCGTTATCTCCACCGCTGAGTCTGGGATGTTTTCATCCAGCCAGGTCTCTGTGACAACAGTCACACAGCTGTCCATCCGGCGAGAGATAATTCGGAGTCGCACCTCGTCGATTTTGTTGACGAGGGACCTGGCGTTGGCGAGTAAGAGGCTGGGGAGGGCCGGTCTGTGAGGGTTAGCTTGTAGCCTTGCACGCACGCCGGCTCTCTTGCCCCTCTTTTGTTTGCGCTGCCTCCTCCGTCGCCTTCGCAGCAGGGAGGGAATGATCATAGTCCCAGGTGTTCGAAGCAGCTCTGGAGGAATAAAGTCCAGCTTGGTGGGTGTGTGAAGTCCAAACTGTGCCCTATGTTCCACAGTTCTGATCTGCTATAAGTTGTCAAGGCTTCCAGTAGTGTGTTGAGCAAAGACATCAATAAAAACAGGCTAACAAAAACTAAAACACGGGAGCTCCGAGCCGCTGCGTCTACACGCGCCGCCATCTTGCAGACTCATCTTGCCTCCAAACTGGACGTGCTTCTCTTCCGTTTTGTGCAAAATATCTTTTTCAGGTTAAGCTGAGCCCTGAACTCCTTACAAAGAAAGACGTAAATAAGCGGATCCAGACAGATGTTACAAACTGATAGTAAAACGGCAAACTCCTTGATGTAGTACAACTCTACCCAACAGTTTTTCTCAAGTATGATGTATGGAAGTCGAACAAAGTGATAAGGAACAAAGCAAAAGCAGAACACACTGACCAACACCAACATGTTCCTGCGAGACCTCATAAGCTTCTTGGAGTTGGGGGAGGCCAGTTGGGCCTTCTCTATCTGCAGCACCCTGCGGGAGGTGCTGTAGTAGAAAAAGACCAGAGAGACGAGTGCCAACAGGAAGACGATGAAAGTAAAAGCATGAATCGCTGTGTGCAGTGGTTTGACAGGTTCACTGATCAGATGGTCACACATAGTGTGTTCATCATCATGATGTTTCTCGTTGACCAGCATCATGATGGCGTAAGGTGTTGTTATGGCCAGGAGAACAACCCAGGTGGTTGTTGAGATGACGCGGCTGGCTTTGGCGCTCATCAGGATGTGACTTCCCGGGGAATAAAGTATCTTCATGTATCTGTGGAGAAGAACAAAGATTCATTTGATTTGCTGGAGCTTGTAGCAACCTGAATTTCTGCAGGATGAAATACAAAAGTAAAGAAAAAGTCATTGTAGATAGATGATGAGCTTGGTTCTGTCTCTACTGCATTTTCTTACAGTTAAAATAATGACATTTCTTTGTAATGTCACCACATTCTTGCTCAGAAGGAGGATGATGCTAGAGATAGATACAGTTTGAATCTTTGTAATGTTGGCAATACCAATTTATGGTGGTAAAGATGGAGCTGCCAATTGTTATGAAGCAATTAGGTCTGATTTGCCTATCAATTGGTATAAATAAATGCCTTGGGCCACTAGAGAAATGTGCATTTCCTGCATAAATACAGTGTGCATGTCTGTTGAAAATTGCAAACGCATTTTAAGTCAACCGGCAAAGACTTTGAGAAATATAAGAAATGGACAGAAGCAACATGATGAAGAAAAACTTTTGAAGATGAGTAAAAACTTTCACTCAATTTGAAAATCGTACACAAAGACAAATAGAATTTTCTGCAGAACACAAAGACAATCTGTTAGGTCTCAGCAGTGTAAAAGACAAGATGAGCTGAAAAGCTAAAGCTAGCTGAAATACTAATAAGATTTGGGCTATCACCAGCATGTTGACCTACAGTAACATATTCCATGCAGTCTGAAAACAACTAAGAGTTAAAATTACACATAAAGCTAAAGTACCCAAAATGCTAACATTTAGGCTAGCATTAGCCTATATTATCTATGTCCATCCTCAGCAGAATATATGTATTCACATTTTTAGCCGTCTATCCAAGTTAATTACTCTGACTGCAAATTATGTGGGACCTATGCTTTAAACAATAGTCAAAATTAATAATCTGGTTGGTAGTTGAGGTGCGGTACCTGTTAGCTGCTATATAGCTCATGAACAGGATGCTAGCAGCCATATTGAGGAACAGGAGCGGGGCTCCAATGCTGCAGTAGAACAGGTGAATGGTGAATGAGCTTCTGACATAGTGAATAATGCGCAGAGGGATGGTGACACAGAGCAGAAAGTCAGCCGCTGTCAGATGTTTCAGGTAGATCATCCAGCTCTTGGACACTTGGCCATGAACTCCACGGCAGTGAAACCACAAGGTGAAGCTGTTGAGGCTAAAGCCCACCTGTAGAGAAAATCATCAAATGATAAGTTGGTGAAACCAAAACCTTGAATGATTTTTGCCTGATTTGGATTGGTGCAGCCCAAAGACATGATACTCACCAGGAACAGCAGGCTGTAGACCACTACCAGGAAAGAGTTGCATAATTTCACATCTAAATCACATGTCATATTCTGGACTGAGATGTTATGGATGGATGAAGTTGTTGCATTCATGATCCTGAAGTTGCAAAACACAACTGTAAAAGAAATCAGATGGATGGATGGATGGATGGATGGATGGATGGATGGATGGATGGATGGATGGATGGATGGATGGATGGATGGATCTCCTCATTAACATACAGACTAGCAGAGAAAGGAGAGGAGCCGATGACAAGAATAAAGCCTTGTACAAAGAAAAACCAAAGTATTAACTTTTCTTAACAAAAACGCATGTTTAGGGGAAATGAAAAAGAAGATATATACATTTCTTAATGAAAATACATGTGTAAGGAAAAAAACATTTATTTAAAGTTTTTGATGACAGCACAATGGAAGGAAAAACAAAATATATATTTATGCTTTTTTTCATTATGTCAGTTTTGGTGCTCCATACCTCTTGCCACGCCCTTCCTGTCCCATCCAGGAACCAATGTGTCTGAAAGTACTTACAGCTGCGGTTGCTCTTTGTCTCAGCTTTCTGTCTCCTCGGTCTGGAGAAACCAGCGACGAGACGCAGTTTCCTCATTTTCTGAGTTATTAATGCTATCTGCTAGAAATCTTCTCAGTCGCTGGATGAGAAGATTTATATAACAGGAAATAAATCTACTTCCACCAAGACCCCCTATATCATATAGAAATCTTAATATATTATGTATGTAATGTTTATATCATTATATGCTCCTGTGGCAGGAAGTAGGTGCATTTGGAGTAATTGCCAATAAACGCTCATTATAGCAGCTAAAGTGATCTGTAGACTGACACGTTGCGCTGTCAGGTGTTGAATCTTATTCTTGCTGACTTCCTGCTGTGGGTGGAGATTCACACAGGTGGGTGCAGTTTGCTAATGAAAGCCCACAGGTCGCTCTGGTCAGCGCTGCACTCGGGCCAAATGTAACCGAAGGCTGTTTTTCATCCGTCTTACGGATGGCAGCAAAACGGTTTCACCACCATGAGATCAGACGTTTCTTTCTGCGGTTTCTGTCTGGAAAATCTTCTCTGGGTTTTGTAACTCTTGTGGTTGGCAGCAAAAATGTCTGAGGTCACAGTGCAGAGTGAAAATATAAAACCTCACCAAGTATTTATTGTCTATTTCCTAGTACAAATGTCTTAGTACAATACAAGTAACTTTTCAGTGAGGGAAATGTTTTAATAGTGAAATAATCTGCCAGTGAAACTAGAACTTTTCATCAATGTTGAGGGATTATTGACTTAAAACAAGCTCCCGTCTTGCTGAAAAGTTGGTTAGTTTTGTCTTATTTTAAGTGTCCTGAGATATTTACACTAGAAATTAGACAAGACTTTGTTTTTTCAGTGTGGAGTGGCATTTATAATCTCTCAGGCCTGTCAGACTAAATAACTCCTAATTTGAATGTTTGCCCTGAATTTCATCCCATTTCCACACAGTGGTTTTCACAATAACAACATTGTCTTCTTTGCAGAATTGAGTAGCTTTATTTCCATACATTCAAATGCAAACCCAGTTTAACTTGTTTCAAATCAAAAGATGAAAAACATTCTCACCACATTTGGTTTCATTCAACCAGGACATGCAGCTGCAGCATTTATTCTTTACAAGCTCAAACATTTGCTACTGAAGTTTTCTAATCAGTCATCTTTCCTGTAAGTAACTGATCTAAGTTTTAGTTGTTTAACAGTTTGTTTCTAAGAACTGTTTCACATGTGGATGTGGAGCCAGCAGGTTCTGGCACCTCTAACCAGAAATCCCAGTAAAGGACTTGCACTTTGCACTGGGGCAGCTTGGTCTCTCTATTTTGAAGCATTCAAATTTGATGCCATGGTAAAAGAAGAGTCTCCACACATGACTCCTACGCTTTCGAACTTCACAGTTTTCTGTGTCTTGAATTCAGTGTTTTGGGTGACAGACTGTCTGTGGATTCCAGAACCAGAACAATCCATTTCTCTTCATCCCAGTTTGTGGGATTTCGTGTTTTCACTGCTGGGTCTGTTGGTTCCCCATTTCTGTTTCAGCCTCTGAGCCTGAGATACTGGAGTTGTCTTTTGTAGTGGAGAACATGTGCTGCAAGTTCAACCTGGCCCTGAACTCCTTACAAAGAAAGACGTAAATCAGAGGATCTAGACAGATATTAAAAGCTGATATCAAGACAGTCACCTCCTTCAGGTAATAGAGCACCGCAGAACACTGTTTCTGAAGTATGATGTACGGAAGTCGAACCAGGTGATAGGGGAGAAAGCAAATGCAGAACACACTGACTAACACCAACATGTTCCTGCGAGACTTCTCCAGCTTCTTGGAGTTGAAGGAGCCCAGTTGCCTCTGCTGGATCTGCAGAACCCTGCGGGAGGCGCTGCAGTAGCAGAAGACCAGAGAGCAGAGCACTGACAGGAAGACGATGGCAGCACCAGCATGAAAAAGCTTATAGAATACGTTGACTGCTTCACTCTGCAAAACATCACAAGTGCTGGCACCAGAAAAAGCAGGTTTGTCGGTGTTCAGCATCAGGATGATGTATACAGGTGTTGGAGCCAGGAAGAAAACCCAGGTGGCTCCTGAGAGGAAGCAGGCGCCTCGAGTCGTCATCAGGAAGGGCATCCTCACATGATGAAAGATCTTCATGTACCTGGAGGATTAATACAACATCAGGGATGTTTAACTTAAACGATTTTGACAAAGGTTATAAAGGTGAACATCTAATTCTAGCAAAAGTCTCTGATTATTGACATTTATAAAATGTGTCTTAATTGTAATACAAGAAGGTTTAACTTCCTGTCAAAGCTTCTGGGTTTGACAGAACCTCTCGTCAGACATTTGTACAAGTTTTATTTAAGAGTTTCATAAACCTGCTGTACCTGTTGACGGCGATGCAGCCCATAAGTAGGATACTGATGTACATGTTGATGTAGAAGATGGGGGCTCCGAAGGTGCAGTAGAACAGGTGAACTTTCTCAGACCTGCCTGCATAGTCGGCGATGCGGAGGGGAAGTCCGAGGCAGAGCAGGAAGTCGGCTGCTGTCACGTTCTTCAGGTAGATCATCCAACTCTTTGGGACCCTCTGCTGAGTGCGGCAGAGGTGGAACCACAAGGTGTAGCTGTTCAGGATCAAACCCACCTGCAGAGGGAACGGAGGGAGGTCAGACGAAGGCTCTGGATGAATCATTTTCCTGCTGATGGGCCTGTTAGCTGCAGCTTAGCGGTCAGACAGGTCTTCAGTCTGGGCGCAGATAAATCCATTAAGATGTAACAACTTTGATATTGTTTCGTTGTGCTGCTTCATTTGAAGATCTGCTGATTACATGGTTTGATCATATTTGCTGTGTTTAAATAGATTAGCAGTGGACTAACAAATTCAATTGATGTGTTTGATGTTCATATTTAAACCCCGAGATTTTTTCTGCTTTTTTTTATGTCAAAAATATTTCTATACGTTAGACTTTGGTTTCTAAAAATCTGTTCTGAATTGATAAATTGCTCACAGGAGAATCCTGAGTTTCTCCACCAAAGGTGAAGCTGTGAAGCATGAGATCAACCAGCATGAGATCAACCAGCATGAGATCAACCAGCATGAGATCAACCAGCATGAGATCAACCAGTTTGCTAGAACAGCTCAAAGCCGTAACTGGCCTGTATTTAGTGCATAGAGCCAGAGCAAGTACAATGTTACCGGGCAAAGATTGGGCGCCAGAGACAGCCAGAGACATGATGTCAGTTTGCATCAGTCCAACATCATCAGGCAATAAAATCTACAATCAGCTGCTGATTAATTTCCTCTCACCTCCTCTATTCCCTGAACCCACTGGTGGATTTGTCTTTGGTTCCTGGTTCTACTTTTGTTTTTTTGCTCTGCTGTCTTTTCCTCTCTGAATCACAATGGCAACAAATTACAGTAAAAGCATAAATGTGAATCCAGTCTCTTGCTATTGATCTCTCACAGTTGCAGTTTGCAGTTCTTGTCATAGTTTACAACAGACTATGCTGCTATATTTACAATGTGAGAAATCACAATGTTTTCCACAATGAAAAGGACTCGTCGTTCTGAGGCACTGCTTGCTATTCTCACTGACTCAGATATTTACTTTTCAAAGATGAGCTAAACATTTTGCATGCACTTACTGTTCTGCGAGTTTGAAAGTAATTAGAATAATGCGACAGAGGAAAACTAGTCAAATTTTTAGAGGAAAAGCGTGAAACACAGGCACTGGCAACCCTTCAGTTTGAGACTCACCACAAACACCAAACTGTAGAAGAATATGAATCCAGGAAGAGACGATTCGTTGACCGGATTACAGACCTGGCTGGTGGAGGAGTTGTTGGTCATCACTGATTCTTCTGGGTCAGCTACGTTTCGCCCACCCACACAGAACAGAAACAGCAGATCATTTCCTCTTCCGTGACAGAGTTGAACGGTATCTCTGCAGCAAGTCGAATTCTCACAGAATGAGTCTGTAGATTTTATCTGAGGCTGCAGGTTTGGTTGTTGTATGTTGCAAGAGTTGTTTTACGTTGGCCAGTTTCAAATAGAAACCACAGGAAGTCCTACTACACCACGTAGGAAGCCAGCCAGTAAATAACTGTGAATAAACGCTAAAAGTTGCATTCATGTGTTTAGCAGTCATAGTTATGAAGACACGTTTCAAACAAAAATGAACCAATCTAAACCCAGCGCGTCATAACCTCAGGACTCCTGATCATGTTAGAATAAATACGTAGTTTGTGACCTGCAGTGGTGCAGCTTCCTGGAGGGAACCTCAAACGCAGCTCCGTCCTTCTGGCTCTGGATCCACACCACATTCTCTCTGTCACATTTGCAAGTCAAAAATAAAACCAGTAGACACAGAAACGTATCAAAAAACCTTCCTGTAGTCTCAACTCTGAATTTGAATCTACAGTAAACAGTCGATGTTTCTCTCACTGGGATGTTTAAATATCTGAACACTGATGAAGGCAGGCTGCTGAAACACTTCCTGGAAAAGCGACATCATCCTTGTTGCCATTCCAGCATTTCTTTAAGGTTCTGGCAGCGTATGCATCTGAAAACGATTTTTTGGATCATTGAATCTGACTGAAGCTGCAGGCTGTGAAGCAGCTGCTGCGTCTTCACCTGCTGCGTCTTCACCTGCTGCGTCTTCACCTGCTGCGTCTTCACCTGCTGCGTCTTCACCTGCTGCGTCTTCACCTGCTGCATCTTCACCTGCTGCAACAGCAGATGCTTCTTCCTCTGTTCACTGTGACCTCGATCTTTTACCTCCGAGTGCTTTTAAAATGCTCATGATGTGGGACCACAGACTAACTTATCAGTTTTAACGTCATTGCACTCATTCTTTTCATGAACTGACATACACAGACATCAGACGCTACATCAATCGATCAATCGATTGATCAGGTTTATTTGTACAGCACAAAGACAATAAGAAGCCATTAAAACATCATAGTCACTTATTGAGAAACCAGTAACAAACAATGCATTTTGATGAGTGCCATTATCAATAATCATCAATAATCATCAAATATGTTGGTCTGTTTCATTTATTATGGTTCAAAAGCAACTGTAACTGTCAGGTTCAATACCTATTAAACACAAACTACAGCAAGAATATCTGTTTTTCTGCCTACATATTCATAGAAACAACCTTGAAACATACAAATGTCCTTACACGTCCTCTGTGCGTCGTCTTCCTGAGGATATGAGGCTCCTCTGCGTGCAGACGGGCCTCATCAGACGGGATTTCTGCTGGAGGTTGGACCCGCAGCGGTCCAGCACTCTGAAATCCAACATGGACGATTAGCTGGTGCTGCTCTGGTTCTGAAGTTAAAAATGGTCAAACTCTTCCCACCGGCACGGCCAGTTCACGTATTCACTGGTGAACCTGCTTTAGTCCGCCACTGGGTGTGATGAGTTGTAATGGCCACCAGGTGGCACTGAAGCGTCAGTCTGTTCTAAAGACAGAAGGAGGAAACCAAAGAGCTGCTTTCACTGAGGTAGAAAACAAATCAGCTATTTTCATATAACTGCTCACAAACTTCAACTTATCACCAAAAACACAGAAAACCTCAAAACCAACAGCATCACGGGAGCTTTTACTGTGAAAACCTACGTTAATTTGCTCGTTCAACATGTCAATAATATCAGTACAAAGTTTTATCAGTACTTTAAGAATTCAATCCAACCCAAGAGCAACAAGCCACCATTCCTCCTGCCATGGATAAAATCTTAAAACAGTAAATTAATGTAACTTAATTAAGGCCAAAGGAACATTTACAGATAAAAGCTACAGTAGAAAGTCACAGAGAGAAACTAAAGGAGCCAGAAGGGACCAAAACACAGAGGGAGAAGAGAGTCGGTTAGCAACCAGACGAGCTAATCAGAGGGAAGTAGAGACAGCTAGGGAAGGGAGAACCAATCATTCCTTCATTCCTCTGCGGATGAAGGAAGAAACCCTGGAAATAACAGAAACAGTAAACTTATAAACTCTCATTTAAAATTAGAGTAAATGATGATTAACACAGAAATGTAAATGAAAACCAAACACATGAAGTGATAAGAGCAGACATGTTGGAGAGCTGAATCCATTATTAGCTTCTTATTTCCTCCCTTTTATTATTTCCTTTCATGTTTGCTCCAGCGTCAGCGTGCGGGTATTATGACGTCCAGAGCAGCAGGCGGGAAGTCAGCTGATGAGTATCTGAAGACAGCAGACTGAGCAAAACAGGAAGTAACTTATGTCTAACTTTAAAGAAGAGCCTCAAACATTGAAACATGTTTGAGGCCTAATGGTCAGGTTTGACTTTAACAGGAAAATTCATGTTTCAACACCACAAGGTCATCGCACTCCTAATTAGTCACAAACGTAATTTTAAGGATGTGACACGTAAAGGTGATAAGACAGAAATAAAAATGGCTCAGATTCTGAGTGAACAGACATTAGATGTTGAAGTTTGCTGATGACAAAGTTATTATCCAATAAGGAGGGAGAGAATGATTCAGCTGATCAGATGAGAAGGGTTTTATTTTAGGTGTGACGACTCCTCCTTAAAACTTCAGACTCAGTGTCACCAAAATAAAAGCTTTTAGAAAGAAGTCCAATCCACCAGCTTCAGCTCTCATTACGGGGAACCGGAGGAGCCGGTGGCGTTCAGAGTTAAACAGTGTAACGCGTTTAATGCGATGGCATCCTGGAAGATATCACACAAATGATATCTGTAAAAATCAGGTTCCCTTCGACACAATCTGATTGGCTGATGTTATGCTACAAGCAGTTAGCCTGCTAGCAAGGCTATTGATGCCTAAAATAGCATTTGAATGCTAAACATGTAGCAGCTAATGCTAATGTTAGCATCCATCATCTGATGGTTAAATAATCAGAATAAAACTTTAAATATCTTCACTGTTGAGCTCAAATGTCTAATCAATGATTTAGCAACACTAATTAATTACTTCATTAATTACAGACCTATAGTTACATCCATACTCACACACATACATTTAAATATTTTACGTTTTTATTTCTAGTTGGACTACAGAAAATAACCCAGATTGTATTTAATAGTTTCATGATTTTTTTTTTATGACAATTAAAAAACATAAAGCTAACATTTTATGTAATTATTTAATTGTGAGATTTATATAATAACAAGTGGGAAGCTTGGTATGATTTGCATATTCAAATTGAGGATAATAAAATCCTGGTGTCACTGTGTGCTGCTCGCTGCTTTGTTGCTTTATTGTTTTGGAAACAAAACAAACATTTTTCTTTGTTTTATTAAGAAAAAACAGAAAAACAAGCAGCTGGACACGAAGGGACTGAATTAACTTCATTTAAGTTTTGATGTAGAAAAACTGAAAGGTTTAGATTCTGGTTCCGAGTCCAGATTCTGGTTCTGAATGTGTTCTGATGTTTTGGCAGATCAGCGCTCATTTTGTTTTGTTTTTATTATTATTGTTGTTATTATTATTAAATCTGTCGGATTTCAGAAAATAACCCGGATTTATGGGAGAACAACGCAGTTGGTTCTGGTTCTGGTTCTGAGGAAGGAAACCGAACCAGATGGACTGGATTGGTGAATCAATGTTTCTGTTGTGTGTCGCAGGGGGCGTGGCTTAAGTGACTTCACCTGTCGCAGGTAAACTAAACTGCGACACAAATCGCTGGAAGAGGCGGAAGTCACCCGCTGTGAAAAATATTCGGTTCGGTTCGGTTCTCCCAGCTTGATCCGGATTCGAGGAGGATCCATCCTCAGCAAGATGCTCACTCTGAAGTTTCTGTTGCTCTGCTTCCTGGTTCGGCTCGGCCGGGCTCAGACCTGCGACTGGGACCAGTCCACCGATCCGAACCAGAGCCTCGACCCGGACTCCTTCGAAGCTGGGGCGCGGTACCTGGGCCAGATTCGGGAGGTGTCGGACCCGGAGCGCTGCCGGACCGCCTGCTGCGAAGAGGCGGGCTGCGAGCTGGCGCTGGTCGGGCGGCCGGCGGACGGAGGGCTGCAGTGCCTGCTGGTGAGCTGCGGGCCGGCCGGCTGCTCGCTGCAGCGCAGCTACCAGTTCCAGGTGTTCCGGAAGAAGCAGCAGAGTCAGGCCGACCAGGAAGCCCCTAAAGGCGGGCACGTCGTCCCGCTGCTGGAGGCCGCAGAGCCGCGGAGCAACAACAGCGGTGAGAATAAGTCGGTTAAAGATGATCTTTAACTGGAGCTGGGATTAATGTCGGGGTCATGACCTGATCAGTCAGATGGCTGAATATCAAAAGGGGCGTCATGAATGACCGGAAGTAGACTTCCGTCCCGTTTCTGATCAACATGATTGATTTGGCCCGACTTCCGGTCTCCTGTGTTTACTGGCTGCTGTTTGTAATCTCTGAGAACTAAAAAAACAATAAAAGTATAGTTGACATAAAACCGAAGAGAAATAGAGAATAAAAAAGAAACATGAAGAGGAAAGAAAAACAGGAAATGTTGCTAAATGAATTTTAAATATTAATTTGAACTGTTAACATATCAGCGTTTGTGTTCAATGTTTAAGCAATTCTGTAAAATGAATGATTTCACTCACATGTTGTTTAGGTGCTTTAGGAAACCTGCTCAGGTAACAGGAAGTAGAAGCCGGGTCTCAGCGTCCAGAACGGTTCCATCTGAGGAACCGGATGAGGACCGGTTTGGTTCTTTGATGCTTTCTGGGTTTTATCTGACCGTTGTAGCATTTTCAGAACCAGGAAACTGAGACTAAAACTGGAAAAGTGGACAGAACCAAACGGATTGAAACGGTTCTGGATCTTAAACTAAGAACATGCTTTAATTTTCAAACTGATATCAGAACCGGTTCTGATCGTAGATTTAAACTCTTCCCTCCATCAAACAATGATCCGGATTGTGTTCTGTCCTGGTTCAGAGTCCGTTTGCATCAGTTCTGGCTTAAGATTTAAAAGGAGAACTTTTTCTGATCCGAGTCCAGTTTTTATTTGCCGTTGGTTCTTGCAGGGATGTGAACACTGTCCGGGTCAGAACCGTTCCAGTTTTACAGGCAGCAGGTTGACCTTCCAACCAGAGCAGTTTCCTGGGTCATCCCTGATCCAGACCCGATCCAGATCACATCGGACCTCCTCTAATAAACCCAACCTGAAGTTTCTGGAGTTCAGAACCAAAGTCTAAACTAAATTTAGTACATGAAAACTGAAGCCTTTCCTGTAACTGAAATAATTAAAAACGGTAATTAATGTGGAGAAACTGCAACTATGAACAAACTGAGTTTGTTTTATTTAACTAAAACAAACTGAAATTATTGCTATAATATCCTTTGTTTTTCAGATTTTGAATCCATTTATTAGCCTTTATTAAGGTGCTCCATAGTCCTATGGGCGGCTACGCTACGCTAGTCCGTAAAATGGCAACAGTTGTGATAAAACATCAGTCAGTCGGTAGTTCAACAATAATTGAACCATTTTGTGAAACTTTTATCTTCTGTTGAGTATTGAGATTGTTATAGTTTTATAGTTTAGTTTGTGTGTTTGCTAGTTTTGAATAGTTACAGATTGTTCAGTGTTTATTAGTTTTAGTTCTTTCATACTTTGGATCATTTTTCTGTACAGAATTCACAAATTAGTTTCATATAATGAAGACTCAACAGAAAACACCATTTTCAAAAGTACCGTTTTGTGAACTAGTGTAGCATAGCGTAGCATTGCATAGCGTAGCCGCCAGGAGGAGCATGGAGTGCCGTAGTTTGTCAACAAATTACTCAGTTTTTAGGAACCACATGATATAGTTCCAGTCAGTTGTAGTGTTTTCATTTGTTTTAGTTAACTATAACTAAATGAACTGATGTATGAAAACACCACAAATACCACTATAACTAATAGAAGCTGAAGTAAACTAAACTAGCAAACTCTCTAAAAGCTAATTAAAGCTCTGCTGACTCACTGCTGACTGAGGCTCAGCTCAGGTATCAGAACCGGTCTGGTTCCGGTCCAACCGGTTCCTCTGGTTCTGAGGAGCTGGCTGTTCCTCACAGTGCCTCAGGCTCGGAGCAGAGTGAGATCACTTCACACACCTGGCCTCACCGTTGTGTTCCTCTACATCAGATTGGACTGTTCTCAGGTAAACACAACCCACTTCTGATGTTTCTGACATCACTTCCTGTTTACACGTCCAAGAACTTTGTTTTCCAACAACACTGATTCCCCAGGATGAATCAGCGCTGTTGTTTTGAGACCATTTTAAACTGATAATGTCCTTTAAAAAAGGTTTATAGGACAAAACTCCAGACTGAAAACTTTCACCATCCAGTTTTTTATAGAAAGAGAAAAAAACTGATAAATAATGTAAATAAAAATGATTGAGTTTTAATTTATAATGGAATTAACTCATTTGATTTTTGCAACAGGCCAAGCTATGATTGTTCTAACTAATCAAATCTTCAATCATTTAATATTTAAAAATTATATCATCAGATGAACCAAAATATAAAGTTGAATGAAAATTTGGTTATTATAAATATGAAAAAGAAAAGAATTCATATAAATAATCAACCAGGCAAATTCCTTTCAATATAACATTTATTAAACAGAAACTGCATGTCTGGTGAATTTTTGGTTAAAACAAACTTGTTGTGTCAAGTATCCAGAATTTTACTCAAGTAAAAGTAGCAATACTTCATAATACAGTTACTTAAGTAAAAATACAAAGTACAGTGTAGTAAAATACTCCTAAAAGTACATTTAGTTAGTCAAGTAAATGTAAGTTACAAACTCTGAATTTAGTGACTTTTCCAATGAAAGCGACCAGAATAGTCAGGTGAGTGAAAGATCAGTGTCCAGAAAACCAAATTAAAGTTTACTTGCATAAGGAGCCTGGAATGTCGCCCCCTGCTGGTGACAAAGGAACTTGCTGTGAATTATTCCTGTGGAGATCAAAGCATTTTATGAGAAACAAAAACTGTTTGGTTTTAGACATGAGATGTTCTGAAGTCCTCATTATTAAACCCACTGTTTCCACAGCTTTCTGCTGAGGAAACAACAGTAAACGGTAATAATGTGTGAAACTCTGAAATTTTGATTTAAAATAATGAAACAAATAAAACTGATATTGACCAATAGGACTTACGTTTGCAAGGAGGACAAAAGTCCAAAGAAACATGAAAACTTTGATAATATCAGATTTGACATGAGAAGCGACCCACATTTCCACTGAGCGGGTCGGTCTCGTAGTTTATGGTCAGTCAGGAGACCAACTGGACTCTCACTGGACCAGCCGGGTTAAACCCAAATGACCATCTTGGCGTCTTTCCAGTGCGATGAAAAACAAGTGTTTCTTGTGAGCTGATGTTTTTCTGTCCCTGGTAAATGGACGTTGTCAGAACCATAGTCTGCAGACCCAGAACTGAAGGGACCTTAGGAGGGGTGTGGGTCGGGTTGGTGGTACCGTCCACTTTTACAAGGGACACAGACAAAATAGTTGACCAGATTCTGCTGAACCGCTCAGTGGACAGAGGCGTTGGTGACTTTCAGGTCATTTCTTGTAAATATTTAAGCTCCTTCCAACAGGAGATCTCAGTGTTGAAACTCCAGTTCCTGTCTCTCTCAGATGTTTGCCGTCTGCCTCAGAAGACGGGTCCATGTCGCGGGGCGTTCCCCAGGTTCTTCTACAACGTGACGAGCCAGACCTGCACCAGCTTCATCTACGGCGGCTGCCAGAGCAACGGCAACAACTTCCAGTCCCAGGAAGAGTGTGACAACGCCTGCAGCGGCGTCACCGGTAAGGTCCGCTCACCGGCCTGCCAGCTGGTCTGGTCGTTATGGTCAGAGAACAGAAACCACCTGGACATGTAAGAAGTTGGGAAACGCGTGGCGTTGGAGAAAGATGGAATTGAACTTCAGTTTGCACTTGCTGTCAGATTTGATCCAGTTAAACTCTTTCCGCTGGTTGACAACCACACAAAGTAAAGGTCTGAAATCCCAGAGGCTGAGCTGATGGGTTTGACCTCATGTGACTGAACACAGAACCGCTCCGGACCGGCTGCAGGAAGGTTTGGATTCTGGATCACATCTGAGAATTCTACAAGATTTCAGTCGAACTTTAGTGGTGCTAGAGCAAAATGAGGAAGTGAGATGCTGAAATGTTTGATTCATTTGAGCTGCAGGAAGCTTGAGAGAAACATGAAAACTGAACGGTTCAGATTTCAGGTGGGTCTGGTTTCTTCCTGCTTCCTTCAGGCTGAAATCAGACACCGTCTCTCTGTTTGCTTTGGATCATCACAATGACCACATGCTATCTTAAAGCAAGCTGGGAGGGTCCAGTTAGGCAGCGCCGCTCCCAGTTCACATGCCCAACAACAACAGGAGGGAGGGGCTGCAGACAAAAGCTGCTTTATTTGTTCTGCAGAGGAAACTGCAGCTGGGATCTGAGAGGAAATGTGTTCAAGTTCAGCAGCTCTTCTTTGTTTTGTCCATCATGTTGGGAAACAAAACACTTTTGAATATGAGAGGAACCAATAATCGATCTGAAGGGAAGCTTTTATCTGACCTGCTAATGTCTCATTAATAACTTGTGTGTTCAGGTTCAGTTCTGCTTGAAGAAGTCCCAACATCTGCTCCAGAACCGGCGCCCAAAGTGCCTCGGATGGCCCCCCTACGCCAGGCCGGTTAGTCTCCTCTAACTCAGTTAAACAGCAATTTATTCATAGGTCAGAGATCAATAATTAACTCCACTAACGAACAGGTCCGTTTATGCAGTTTGTAAGAGAAGTTCATATTGATGAAACTTTTACTCACCGAACTCTTTCTCTGTTTCCTGCAGAAATCTCAGCTGATCAGTTCGCAGGTACGTCTCACAAAGTGTTCTGGTGGGTTCGGTTCTGGGGAAACATGACGTTTCACTGAGCCCGGTGGGACCAGTGAAACCCAACGTGTCTTTGTGTCAAGTCATCATTTGGGCAGGTGCAGGGATGGTACCGTTGGTACCTCCCTCATGGGTCAGCTAGAAACCTAGTTTAGTCCGTCTTTCTGTCACTTCTACTGGTTCATAAAGACTCTATTTAAAACAAACAACTCTGAGCCTGCTGGGGGTCCAGGAAAGCCTGGTGGCTCTGCACTGGGAAAGTCCTGAAGTTCCTCCTTGATGTTTGGAAGGATGCTTTAGCTCCTCTGGGTTTCTCGAGAGATTCCTTTGTTTTGGAGGATCTCTTTGGGGTGGCGGTCTCTTTGGGATTTTGGGGGGTTCCTGGTTGATTTTATGGGTTGCTGTTGTCCAATCACAGAGCTGTGTGAAGCGGAGTATGAGCAGGGTCCATGCAGAGCTTCCTTTAAGCGCTGGTACTACAACAAAGAGACGGGCATCTGTCAGACCTTCTTCTACGGCGGCTGCCAAGGAAACAAGAACAATTACGAGGATGAGGACCAATGCAAGTCCACCTGTACAGGTGAGGTACCAGGTCTAGCTCTACCTAGAGACTCTCAACACTGCAGGCAAGACTGGAACTAATGGCCCATTATTTGCTGTAGGAGTCTCTGTCCTGCCTTCCTCCAAGAAGATCCCAGAAGACGACACAGGTGAGAGAGAGCTGGTCGGACATGATGCTGTTCTTCAGCTCCCTGGACCTGGTTGGTAATTATTGTGCGTCTTTGTCAGATCGTTGCAGTTTGAGTCACGAGTCTGGAATGTGCCGCGGCGCCTTCCCTATGTTCTACTACGACTCTGACTCCGCCTCCTGCCAGAGTTTCCTCTACGGCGGTTGTGGTGGGAACGACAACAGGTTCGAGTCTGAGGAGGACTGCATGTCTGCGTGCAGCGGGGCGGGTAAGGACCGGGTCCATCGGGTTGTTCATGAGAAGAGCTGAGCACATCTCGCCCGTTTGTCTCTCCTGATTATTTGACCCATTCCTTGTCTTGCAGGTCGACTCAATGGTCATGAAGAAACCAGAAGCAGATGGACTGCAGGTGAGTCCATTAGTGTTCGCCTTTTCTTATGTTTCTCTCCAAACAAAGATTGAGTGATCGAATCTGGAATCGGTTCCGGTTCTGCTTCAGTTCAAACACCTGAAACATTTACATATTTTAATAAAACTGAAAATGTTTTTAGAAGCAAGTTTGTAAATGCAAAATCAAACGAGGATTTGTTGCAGTAAAGAAAAATCAGGTCAGCTTGTCTCTGAGGAGTGAAACCATTAACTTAAACAACTTCCAAGAATAAAATCTGGGTTTCTATTAAACCTGAATGGGACCAGAGAAAGTTCGTTAGATGTTGGTGAAATGACGCTGGAACGAAGAGAACTAGGCAGGAAATGGAAAGACGCATAATGGTGTCATCAGCATAGAGGATTCAGTTTGACCTGTGACCTCCACTGTTAAAGTGTTGGATCTGTGGAAGATGCTAATGAGAGAATGAGAACAACGCTGACTGTAGCTGGATTTGCTCAGCTGCTCAAGAATCTTTTTTTTTTTTAACTAATGGAGGATATCCTGTCATTTAGGACTTTCAGAGTAAAAGTAGTCCAACTTGCAGATTGACCTGTTAGTGGATCAATCATTGGTAATTAGTTCCAGACTGACCTCATGATAAAGGTCATGCATCTGTAATTAAGGGTGACCTGAAGTTGATCCTAAACTTCCTGTGAGGTGTTTTCAAAATAAAAGTGTGATCTTCATCTCTCTTCTGAAGCCTTCTTCCTCTTCGCCACTCTGGCAATAATCTCCGCCCTGCTGCTCGCCACGCTCATCATCATGACCGTGAGGCGCCGCCAACGAATCCGCCGCTACTCCTCCATCAGGTGAGCTTAGCGGCGCCCCCTGCTGGCCTGCGAATGCATCACTGATGATTATTTCTCTCCGGTGTCTGACTGAAGCTCTTGTGTCTCCCAGCGACAAGCGGGGCCTGATCACAGACGATGTGTCGTCTCAGGACTCGCTGAGCATCCCAGAGAGCCCCAAACCGGAACCGAAGGCCTGAGGGTCCGGCTCCACCGGGTCCGGCTCCACCGGGCCCGGACTCAGAACTGATCCGCTCTCTCCTCTTACAGAGATCCATCAGGGTGACAAGAATGTGATCCAAGGTTGGATCAATTATCCGACAATAATCACCATCAGTCATCGGCGACTAAAGGGGCGGAGCTTCAGTTCTAAGGCGGAGCTCTCAGCGTCAATAAAACGTTTTCTTCTCCTTGCAGCATAAGAGCTCTGACTGATTTGTCATTGATCACCTCTATTGATCACCACTAACTGATCACCTCATTAAAGGAGCCATTTGATTCGCAGAGACCCTCCAGGTTCAAAGTTCAACCCAAATGGCAGCTGGACCTGTCCTCAGGGACCAGCTTCCTGTCCAGGTCTCCTGACGAAAACCGATTCAATCCTGATTTTAAATTTCCTGACACGGATCAGCTCCTCGTTTCTTATCACAAAGTAATTGATTATTACGGATAATCAATTGAGAATGATTCAGTTCAGCCACGTGATTATTGGCTTTTCCTTCAAAGAGAAACATTTAAACTTCCTGTCTGCAGTCGAACCAGTAACTTCTCTGTGGTTCTGGGTAGTTCTGTAGAACCCGGTTCTGGTTCTGGACTTCATCTCCTGTGAAGCTCTGAGTTTCAGATCTCGGCACCAATCAGATTCTAACATCCCGTCACAAAGTCCATGAACAGCCAGAACTTCACAGGAGCCAATCAGAACCTGGAGAGTTCCTGATTAGCGACAGATCAATACATCAGATCAGCACCTCGTCATGTGCTGTTTGGACTGTACTGGTTCCGTTTCCTGGCCCCGCCCAGAGCTTGGAGCAGAGCCTCTGATTGGCCGTCAGGAGGGCACTGTTCCTTTAAGGTTGATGTGATTATTGATCAGTGAGTTGATCAGCTGACAGATCGGAGCTCAGGTGGTTTTAATTAAATATGTTAAAATTAAACTTTGATGTTTTTCTTAAATCAAATATTCAATTAATCGTTTCGATTGTTTTCACTTAATCAATTATTGGTAATTTTTCAGAGGGGTTACAATAATTAGTTAAGTATTGGTGAATGTTTTCAGTTTTTCCTATGAGTTATAAATGTTACTCAGTTTTTAAGAGACATTATGTGGGTTATTGATGTCAGTAATCAGATGTGTATTGATTGATCGGAAAGTGACAGAATCAGCCTGAAGGTGGGAAACCATACCACTAAATTATTACTGTTACTGCTTAACTCCATTTCCCATGATGCACCTGCAGTCTAGTTCCCTCTGCAGGCTGAGATCTGAGCAGTTTCTGTCAGTTTTATGAATTATTGATCAGGGAATCTGTCACTTTGAAGTTTTATTGCTTTTTAAAATGTCACTGTGTTCAATAATCTGATCTATTGGTCTCACCAGGGTCATTCTGGAGGTTAAGCTACTTTTAAATACCACTTATTAAGCAATTAGCAACTGATCAGATTATTGATGGGCTAATTTTTAATTCTGTTGTGATCAATATTCTGAAAAGCGGATCACTCTCCACAGAAACAATAAATAAAATGTTACCAATTCAGTCTGAAGCAGTTCCTTATTTACAATGTTCCACAGAGTTATTGATTAACGGCAGGTAAAACCAGATTAATGAGCAAAACAGCCATTTTTCCAGTCCAGCATCGACTGCGGACTGGAAGTGATGGACACCAGCAGGGAGGTTTTGGGATCATCCATCCTGGCTGTTGTTAAGATCTGGAAGTTGCTGAATGTCCTGCAACCTTTAGATGAGCCTCTGCTGCAACACCTGGGTAGAATAATTGGCTCATTAAAGCTCTGGAGGTAATTCAGCCATTTCTTTCCAGTGTTGTGTTTTTGTGGCACATATGAAACCTGGAGGACTGGAGTTTGACACCCCTGACCTATGGACTTTATCACTATGTCACAGGACCCAGGATGATTGAGCTGGTTTAAAGGTAAGAACACAGCACCTGAGTTCAGTTCTGTGAAACTGCCTGAAAGCCTGGAGTCAGTTCTGTGCAATAAGAAAAGATCGGATCACAATCCATCACTGGTCCAGTAAAACAATAATGGTGAGTTAGGCTGAATTACAGGAGTTAGGAAGATGATTAACACTGATTGACTTTAAAGGAGGTTTTGGTCAAGCAGTTTGCTGCTTTATCAATGTTTTCAATACAGCGTGATATTCAGCCGGCATTGGATCAAATACTTAATCAAAGACAAACAGATTATGGATACCAAAACTTTATTGCTAAAGAAGTTGGAATGATGTAATTTTTTTCTTTTATGTAATTTTGATGTCAATGTTTCTTTTCAGTTCTTTAATTTTAAATCAGGCTTTATCACGCTTGATTTGTTGATACAAATAAATCCATTTGAAAAAAAGAATTAAAAACTTTTTCACATCTTTTCTATGAATGTATTTGTGCTAAATATTTCTGCACTAAAATTCAACACTTTAACTGTATCGTGGTATTAAAATTAAGTTTATTTTACGATAAAAAAAAAAAGTCAAAAACTTTATTCTATTTGGCAAATATTCATAAATGTAATTTGTCAGAAACAAAACCTAATAGAAATCACGCGGATAAATCAAGAAATTTTAAGGAAGTCTCTGCTTGACGATCTCTGACGTCATCACGCTGCGTCTCTCCCGGAAGTCTCGGTCGGAGCCAAAATGGCGCAGCAGCGGCAGCTGTTGGTTTTGGTTTTGGTTCGGGAAACAAACGTTAAGCGACTGGTACCGTGACCGGACCGCAGTCACGTGAGCGGGGAGATCACAGGGACCCCAGGCTCGCGCCAGGACGCGCGTGCACGCCGTGAGTGTCATAGTTGTTCCTTTCGGAGCGCGCGGAGCTCAGCAGCTAGCAAGATGCTAACGTGTTGAGTCACTGTGGTTCATCCAGAATTGACTTTGATTTGACTGGGAAAATATCGGAAATCAGGGCCGAACCGGTTTGTTCCGGTCAGATAGAAACAACAGCAGAACCGCAGTTCGGTTCGGCCCACCTGACTCCCAGCTGCGCCTCAGACCCTGATTACAGGTAACCTGCTACTGGTTCCGGTTCTGTTTCGCTTTCCGCTGGTTAGTTGAGCTCCACCTGATTAACACGTGTTCCTTTCGTTGTAAACATGTTTATGTGAATCTTTTAATGAGAACAGAACCTCTCGGCCTCCGTAGGAAGGAACATTGATCTAAACCTGTTTGTGCTTGGAAAACTGATCAATAATCGGTTCTGGAGCAGGTTCGTCATCCGGACCGCGGTTATCTAGTTAAATCCTGGTCCAGTTCAGGATAATTGAACCTATCTGATTATGTTGTCATGGTAACCTGATGAAACAGCTGATTCATGAGCAGAGAGGTGGATGTGTGGACAGAGGGCTCACTCTGGTTTCTACTGCAGCTTTAAATGGATCAGAACTGGGTTCTGTTGCTACAAACAGACTACGGTTCAGGTTCTGATCCAAACAGAGCTGTCTGAGACGCAGCTCGTCCTTCTGTCTGTCTCGGTGTGTCTCTGTCCCTCTGACTGCTGCCGCTCTTTCAGGTGGAGATGGCGGCGCGGCGGGCTGACTGCGGCTGGAAGAGACACATCTCAGACCAGCTGAAGCTCAGAGACAGAGTCCAGAGACACACCTTTGAGCAGATCGTCCAGCAGTGTGAGTTAGGACGCGCTGAGGACACACTGTGTCCCACTCTGAGGACAGAGTGAGGGATTAAAGCTGTTTGTCTTCCAGACAATCGTCTCTTGGAGAAGTCTGACCTGCAAACCGTCCTCACTGAGCGATACCAGACAGAGAAGTATGACGTCCCGAGAGGACATGAGGCCAGGTGAGACACCCTGATGCTGAGTCTCTGCTTGGTTTGTCCAGCCTGAGACATCCTAACAGTGTTTCTGTTTCCTGTTTTTCTTTTGTCCCCATCCTTTTTTGTTTGTTCTCATCCTTTGTCCCCTTGCGTCCCCTCTGTTTCTGTCCCCTCCTCCAGCTCCATGGACTCGTCCCGTAGCGACTCCCTTCACCAGGAAATGTCCCAGATGAGGATTCGCCACCAGGAGGAGCTGACCGAGCTGCACAAGAAACGAGGCGAGGTGAGTCACAGGAAGTGATGTCCCCTGTCCTTGTCCTGAGTGTCTGCGTGGAGCTGTGGGGCGTCCCTGCTCCTCTGCAGGGGTTTCTGGTCCATCAGGGTCTCTATTGGAGACAGTGCCCCCGTCAGGCTGCTGCAGCTCTAAGCTCCAGTTTACTTCCTGTGAAGCTGACACTGGAAACCAGTTCAGGTTCTGCTGCGCCTGTAGCAGCGGCCCTGCTGGGCGGAGCCCGTCTGTCCCATCAGGACACACCTGTAGCTAATAGGAAGGGCCTCTGAAAGTGGGTGGAGTCAGTAACCGTTCTGTTTCCTGCAGCTGGCGCAGACTGTGATCGAACTCAACAACCAAATCCAGCAGAAGGATCGAGAGATCCAGAGCAACGAGGCCAGGTGACACACACACACACACACACACACACACACACACACACACACACACACACACACACACCCCTGTCTGATCAGCAGCTGATTGGTTCTCCCCTTCCAGGATGTTGGAATACCAGCAGCAGATCGCCGGCCTGGAGGGAGACTGTCGGGATCTGAGGAACAACCTGCAGGTACGACTCCATGAAGATAATTAATCTGTTGATGATGAATCTCCAGTAGCAGTCAAATCGCAAGAGGCTTCTGACTAAAGACTGTTATGGCATGTTAACAGCTCAATATCCAGGCAGCAGTGATGATATTCCACATCAACACTTCCTGGATGATGGCATCATATGTTGGCTAGTGATGCTAATGCACCTCTTTTGCCCCCAACCTAAAAGCATCCACAGTTACCTGCAGCAATAAATTTAATATCATAAATATTATTGGCCAATCACATTCATTTACAACAAATTCAACCTCCTCCTCTCTCTGCTCTTCATCCATGAAGCCTCCTATTCAACTCCTCTAGGATTTGAGGTCAAAGGTCAGGTGTGCTCCAAGTTGTAATAACGACACCTTCAGGTGCATTGGTTTGTATCTTCCTCGTGTGGATACAGATGAGAAGTTTCATCTCCAGAAGCTGCAATTATGTGAAGGAAGTGGTTACAAAATAAAAGCCCAAATGTCAAAATAAGCCCCGCCCACCAGCTGAAGGTCAGTGATGAGCTGTAAAAGGTCTGATTCCCACAATCCTCTGCTGCCTCCGGCTCCCAGCAGCTCGCTCTCTGCTCCCATCATGCTCCAGTCATGCAGCCATGGGCCCAGCAGCTGCTGACACACAGGGTGTGACATCACACAGGATGTGACATCACTGAGAGGCTGAGCTGAGAACCTGTAGCCTCCCTGTGATGTTGATCCAACATGACCAATTAGGGAGGAGCGTCAGGAGGCGGGAAGGAAGAGGAAGATGATCTCAAGTTTTCAAGCTGAGACCTTCATCACTGAAACAGCGACGGCGTTATGACTTCACCACCCGACCATGTGACCGTGGTAACTTCCTGTTTCTGTGCAGGAGCTGGAAATGGCCAATCAGACGCTGAAGGACGAGTACGACGCTCTGCAGATCACCTTCTCCGCCCTGGAGGAGAAGCTGAGGAAGACGTCAGAGGACAACCAGGAGCTGGTGTCCCGCTGGATGGCCGAGAAGGCCCTGGAGGCCAACCGGCTCAACGCCGAGAACGAGAAGGACACCAGGTGGGCGGGGCGTCGGTGGGCGGAGGGGCGGGGCCTCCGAGCGCTCATGTGACGGCGGCTGTTTGTGTTCCAGGCGCAGACAGGCCAAACTGCAGAAGGACCTGGCGGACGCTGCCAAGGAGCCGCTGCCCATCGAACAGTAAGTGACCTCCACTTCCTGTCTGAGTAGACCTGGATCTGGTCCAGGTGATGAACCCGGGTCTGTTTCCTCCACAGGGACGACGACATCGAGGTGCTGGCTGAGGACGGAGGGAAGGGAGCCGGAGAAACGTCACCAAACCGACCAATCAGCAGGACGCTGAGGTGAGAATCAACGATTCTACGGCACCCAGACCATAAACGGCACCTGTTAGCACCTGTTAGCACCTGTAGCTAGCCACAGCAGGCACCATCACTGTGCACTGAGTCATATCCACTAAACCAGACTGATGAATGATCATCTGCTACAAAAATGTTCATAGCTCCATTATTAGCGCCGTCTGATTTCCATAAAATGTGGATTAAATTAATGTTAAGAAAACTGCTGATGCTTTGATATGTAAATATGTATAAATCCTGGATATAAATTTGACGTTTGGTCAGTTCTTTCAAGTTGCAAAAGACGACTAACCGAATGTTGTTGTTTATGTGTGTATATATATATAAATTTTTTTTTAATATACAAATTAATTCTTGTAAACTGGAGATGTTTATTAATGAAATTTAATGAACATCACCAAGATCTATGAACAAATAAGAAAATTGGTCCAGGTTTTATTTTTATATTGAACTTTTAGAAATGTCAGTGCGCCACAGCAAAGGGAAAATAAATAAACAGATGAAGAATAAATCAAAACCACTAAAATTATATATTTTTTTAATGAACGCAGGCTTGTTGCCGTGGCAACTGGCTCACAACAGCTCCAACAGAGCAGAGATTTCGTTCAGGAACATCAAACCAAAAACCACGCAGACATTTCCCACAACATTCAGTCCGTTACAGTCTCATGATTTCAGATTTATTATGATAAGTGATTGCCTGAAGGTTAGCGCCGCTGGTCGATTAGCTAGTGAGCATCCATCAGCGGAAACGTGATTCGGTGCCCCTTGTGGCGAATCGTCAACATGACGGGTAAACAAACATGGCGGCTCCTGGTTGACGGTTCTAGTTCTGTTTGTTCAGCAGGAAAACGTCCCAGCAGCCTCAGGGCGGGCTCCTCGACTCCATCTCCAACATCTTCGGGTAGGTACCGGTCAGCGTAGCTCCAGCTGGTCTGAGCATGCTCAGTGGATGACGCTGCGCTTCTCCTCCTCAGCAGGCGTCGGTCGGCGAACTCCTTGGGCACATCTCCAGAAACCACAGAGACGCCGTCGGGAGGCTGTGCGGAGGTCCGGGTGCCGACCACGGCGCTGCACGTCTTTGTGAGTTTCTTCCAGTGAGTTTCTGATTGGTCAGGAACCAATCAGATGGCCGGACTTCCTCACTGGAGTCCTGGCTCTGATCGACCTGATGGTCGCAACAAAAACCAAACGTAAAAAACATCAAGTCCGCATCAACTCCCAACCGTCCCTGCTGGTGAACCCCAAGGCCTTGTGCTCGGGCCTGTCTGATATGGCAAGCTGTTTTAACATAAAATCGTCTTCACCACACTTACTTTCAGATGTTTGAAATTAGTTCATGACGAGACACTTTTCCGTTGGCAAAGGTATATCTGCAATAAATTACTGACTACCTGGAATATTTATTTCATATGTCAACTGTTAAATTAGGACCAGTCATAAAGTAAAGTTGAGATTTCTCACGTCTTGTTTTGAGTCGTCATAATTCCAATTCAGTGTCTATTTTTAAATGAAGGCTTGAAGTAAATGGAGTACGTTTGTCTCCATTGTAAACTGGTTGTATTTAATCACAGCAGAAATGAGTCAAACTTTTTCAGAAGCATTTTGAAATCTCCATTTTCACGCTGCACCGTTTTTAGCGCAGCCTGTTTTGGTGGAGAGTAAATGAGGAATTGTTTATGAAGCAGTTTTCAGAGTTTTGTTTTTTCTCTACAATTTGAGGACAAACTATTTCTGCTCCACAGGAAGCTCATGACGGAGAGGTGAACACCGTCCGGTTCAGCCCCGGCTCCCGGCTCCTAGCGACCGGGGGGATGGACCGCAGGGTGAAGCTGTGGGAGGTGATCTCAGGTGAGCTTCACACGGTAACGCCTCAACGTTAAGCCCCGCCCACCGGCTGAAGGTCAGTGATGAGCTGTAAAAGGTCTGATTCCCACAATCCTCTGCTGCCTCCGGCTCCCAGCAGCTCGCTCTCTGCTCCCATCATGCTCCAGTCATGCAGCCATGGGCCCAGCAGCTGCTGACACACAGAGTGTGACATCACACAGGATGTGACATCACTGAGAGGCTGAGCTGAGAACCTGCAGCCTCCCTGTGATGTTGATCCAACATGACCAATCAGGGAGGAGCGTCAGGAGGCGGGAAGGAAGAGGAAGATGATCTCAAGTTTTCAAGCTGAGACCTTCATCACCACTGTAATCAGATTACTTTACCAACGAGTATTCAGGGCCGTCGGCAGCCGGAGACTTTGCAGAGACATGTCTAGAACTTGGTGAGAAGAAATGGGTCGATTCTTTCTGTCGGATACAGGAAGTGGAGGTTGGGCTCCGCAGGCTGAACCGCTTCCTGCTCCAACCCGACATGAAACATCAGCTCTGCTAATGTTGCTACAACACTAAACCAGCATGGATCTAATGGGAGCTAATGACATTTAGCATCAGGTTTTCAGTCATGTTGACTGACAGTCGACCAACCAAAACCTGCTTTACTGCCGACCAATCACAGCGCAGCGTTGCTGTGTGTGTTCAGGTCGCTGTGAGGCTAAAGGAGCTCTGACCGGCAGCAACGCGGGAATCACCAGCATCGACTTCGACAGCGCTGTAAGTCTGTTCCTGCTGCTCGCCATGGTTACATGGGTTACCTGCTCTTGCTCACCTGTTCTTTGTTGTCATCAGGGCTCCTACCTGCTCGCTGCGTCCAACGACTTCGCCAGTCGAATCTGGACGATGGACGACTACAGACTGAGGGTGAGTCCTGATTGGTCTAAATCATCATCGCTAATGAGGGCGGAGTCGGTGTGAATCAGGTGTGTGTTGAGCTGTCCTCACCTGTCTGACCTCTTCCTGCCCTCCAGCACACCTTGACGGGTCACAGCGGGAAGGTTCTGTCTGCTCGATTCCTATTGGACAACGCTCGCATCGTGTCTGGGAGCTACGACCGAACGCTCAAACTGTGGGACCTGCGCAGCAAAGTCTGTACGTCATCAGTCGCACCTGTCCTCACCTGTCTCCTCCTGTCCTCACCTGTCTCCTCCTGTCCTCACCTGTCTCCTCCTGTCCTCACCTGTCTCCTCCTGTCCTCACCTGTCTCCTCCTGTCCTCACCTGTCAGGTATGAAGACGGTTTTCGCCGGCTCCAGCTGTAACGACATCGTTTGCACGGAGCAGTGCGTTATGAGCGGACACTTCGATAAGAAGGTCCGGTTCTGGGACATCAGGTGGGTTCTGATCGTAGGTGATCATGTGCTGAGCCTCTGATTGGCTGAGCCGGCCTGACCTGGTGACCTGTGCTCCGGCTCACGCCGGGCCCTCAGGGCGGAGAGCATCGTGAGGGAGATGGAGCTGCAGGGCCGGGTGACGTCTCTGGACCTGAACCACGACCGCAGCGAGCTGCTGACCTGCTCCAGAGACGACGTGCTGAAGATCATCGACCTGCGCAGCAACGCCATCCGGCAGACCTTCAGGTGAGAAACCAGGTGGAAACGGATCAGGGGATGAATTCATAGCTTTGAATTCAATGGGAACCTTCAGCTCTTTGCTGCATCAGGATTCTTCTCACGCTGGTTTGGGCCAAATATTTCAGAGTTAAACGTTTGTGAAAACGTCCGAAACTTAAAGATGGCGCCTTTTCAGTTCAGACGTTCGGTTTGGAGTTTAGTTACTTTTCTTCACAGCTGTTGTCATAGTAATCATGATGTGGTGTTTGTTTTCAGTGCTCAGGGGTTCAAATGTGGAGCCGACTGGACCAGAGTCACCTTCAGGTGAGCTGAACGTCAGAACGGTTCTGATAAACGACCAGAACCGCTGTTAACCTGTCCGGTTCCGGTTCTCTCTGGTCAGTCCTGACGGCAGCTACGTGGCCGGCGGGTCAGCAGATGGCGCTCTCTACGTCTGGAACGTCCTGACGGGGAAACTGGACCGGACTCTGGACCGAAACCACAGGTAAGAACTGTCCTCACCTGTCTGACCCGTCAAGGTGTGGGATCCTGTTGTTCACGCTGATGATGTCATCGCCCCGCAGCTCGGCCATCAACTCTGTGTCCTGGTCGCCGTCGGGAACGTACGTCGCCAGCGTGGAGAAGGGCAGCAGAGCCATCCTGTGGTCTGACATGTGATTGGCCGGCGCCCAGGAAGGGGGCGGAGCCAACACAGCCGGCGCTGCTGGACTCCTGATGAAGCTGCTGAGCTTTTAATGTTCAGTTTAACTGTGACAGAAGAAGAAGAGCTGGCTCTGAGCGCCACCCGCTGGTTGACAGTTGAATGGACAGCTGGTGAAGGCTGAGGAAGAGGAGGAGACGGGTTGGTTTGAAACAGATGAAGATTAAAGACTCTGAGAGAGGATGATGTTCTGTTTGATACACACACACACACACACACACACACAGCTGCTGAAGTGCCTCTGAGCGTTCCCGGAGCGAAAGCTGCCGGTTCCTTCAGAAGCAGCCGCTGAAACGTGGAAACGGCCTGATCATGTCTCGGATCCATAAACACTAATCGGTCTGTAGTTTTTCTGCTCGTTTCTGTTCATGTTTTCAGTTGGCTGGGAGACATTAAACCCAAACCGCCTGAAACCAGCCGCTCACGCTGCGTTTACTGACCACTGGGAAAAACAAGCGATGTTTCCAGCTCACTGCTTTAGCTCTGCAGAGACACAGACCTTCAGTTTGTGGCGCTCACTGCTCATGTTCTGATTTTCACACAGTTGACCAATCCTCAGGTCTTCTGCTGCGTCCCGTCGGGTCGACGGTCCAGGAACCCGGCGCCGGCTCTGTGCGAGCTTCTGATTGGTTGAAAGGTCATGAAGCCTCTGCATGGTTTCAGTTATTTTGACTGCATTGGAGTTTTATGAAGATAAACTCCTGCTGAGATGGAGGAGATTCCTGCTCACATCAGTTCTTACCAATGTTTCAGAAGCTGAAATGTAGTTTTGCGTTTATTAGAATATATGTGCAGAATTATTCAACAGCTAAACTCATCACTTTATTTCTGTTTGAAATGATGATTACAAACGACTGAAAACTTTCCACCGAACATTTCTGACATCGGTGGCATAAAACGCCTCCTGACTGTTCAGACTGCAGAACCGCGGCCGGGTCCGTTGCCCGGGTCAGAACATGAGTAAATGATGATTAACACAGAAATGTAAATTAAAACGCAGGAGGATTGTTATTAGGATCTTTGCTTGGGATGCTGATTGAGCTTCACTAAACGAGCAAACAGTTTATTTATTATCACTTATTTTACCAGGACGTTCATCGAGATCAAATCTATTCCTAGAGGGAGACTCAGTTTAACCGGAACTACTTAATTATATTTATATGGACGACAAGAGCAGGTGCCAATCATTTATCAGACGTAATCATGAAAATGAAGCATGGCCATCTTCCATCATATTGTTGCTGAATACAGAAAGAAAATGGACCAATACAGATCAATGCTGGAACTATTATTATTTAATAACTTTATTGAACAGGCTGAGGAGTCACAAAGCAGAAATGTTCAGAGAAAAGCTGAACTTTGTCTAATAAAACTACATTTGTTTTATTTCAACATTGATTATAGAGTTTACAGATTGTCCTTGAATGCATCGTGATGCATTCAAGGACTACCTTGAATGTGTAAGGTGCTGTAGCTCAGTAGATCTATAGCATCTTACACAGGATGTCAGAGGCCTGGAGCCGGTTCTAGAGAGGCGGATGGTTCTGCTTTGGTTCAGTCCAGATAAGAGCTAAAGGTGTGTGTGTGTGTGTGTGTGTGTGTGTGTGTGTGTGTGTGTGTGTGTGTGTGTGTGTGTGTGTGTGTGTGTGTGTGTGTGTGTGTGTGTGTGTGTGTGTTTAGCTGCTGTCAGCACTCAGACTGCTGACTCTGTCTCAGCTGATCAGCTCAGCACAGACTCGTCCTGATCACGCGTGTCGACATGTTATGAACATGATCCTGCTCTGATCGTACCGGAAGCTCACAGAACCGGTTCTGATCCGACATGGACTCATACTAATGGTTGAATGAAGCAGGAACATGAAGCGTAGACCAGCCAAGGCTCCAAATAAAACTGGATTCTCTGAGAATTATCTTCAAATTTGTCAAGTTTGTAAAAAAAAAAAAAATAAATTGAAATTGCAAATTAAACATTTCAGATTTAACTTTTACATTTATTGCAGATTTACCAGAAGCATGTATCAAAATCACCCAGAGGAGAATCTTAACAGTTTACTGTCACGTGTTTCCTGAGGTCATATTTCCTGGAAATCAGAGAAATCTTCCATAATTACCTAAAGACTCAACCTTTTAAACACATTATTTTCCTTCCTGATTTCAGTTTGCATTTTAAAAACACCAAACTCCCAGTTCAAACCTTCATCCTGATGACTGAACCTCCTTATTTCACCAAACACAAAAAATAAACGATCCAGATGGCGCCGCTTTTATAAATAGTGTTAGTGATGCTGTATGGTGCACTATTAGGGCCAAAATTAAGATTACCCACACCCAACGGGAGGCTTCATCCATTCTGAAGCACCTACTTTAAAAGTAAAACTGGATAAAAAATCTGAGACTTTCAGCTGCTTCCATTCACACCGTTGCTGCTTGACTTGCTGGTTTAAAGCCTCCTGGTGAGTTTTAGCAGAAAATGTTTACCTGAACGTCACAATGACCTCCGGGGGTTTAAGGTCATTTATTTTTTCGTCCTGCATTGATATGAGTTCCAGATGGAGCAAAGTCAGTCTCAGATCTTTTCTCAGCTGCATCGTCTTTGCTTCTACTCTTACTTTCATACATTTTTGTTCCTTTTTTCAGTTTTCTGACATGGATATTAGTAGAATCATGGTGGGCTGCATGCCTGGACAAGATTCAACATTTATAAAAATATGTTCTTCAAATCTTTTCAAGTCGGCAAACCAAAGCAAAAACAATTCAAAATGGCAACTCTAACAGAAAAAACGGCCAATATAAAATATAGATGAATGGAGAAGGAAAATAGCAGAGAGAGGAGGACTGGTTTAGTTTGAAAACAGGAAGTCACAGGGATGGAAGCTGAAGTTCTGGGCCTCAATTTCAAAATAAAAATGTTCAATGACTTCAGCATTTTGTTGGTTCCCCAGACGCCTTGGAAAGCAGCTGCAGCTCAGTTTAACCTGTCGGAACGGTTGGAGTTTACCTGTGGAGTTTACCTGTGGAGTTTCCATAGAGACGGTGTGCACGTGTGAGCGTGCACGTGGGATGCAGTAAACAGAGCTGCAGATCTGCCTGCAGGATTACAGAGTAATGATCAGCATGCTGACCACGCTGTGTGCAGAGATTATAAATACATGTGATCAGCAGCTGAACAAGCTTCTTCATCTGCAGTCGACTCCATCTCAGACGTTCTTCATCCTCTTCTCGGCTCCTGCTGCTTCAGGTGAGTTTCTGCTTCAGGTGAGTTTCTGCTTCAGGTGAGTTTCTGCTTCAGCCGTTCTAAGATTTTCCATGGAAACTCAACATCAGGTTTGGCCATGACTTGGACACAAAAAGCTTTATTTTCCTGTCAGGTTCCAGAGTTTCACATTTTGAACCATTTGGAGGAGTTGACCTGAATCTGCTCCAGGTTGTGGAGAAAAAAGGGGGTGTGGTCACGTCCATTTAGAAAAGAAGACGCTTTGTGATTGTTTGGTAGATCAGGATGTTAGTCTGAAATCAACCATCCCAACTGAGGAAAGCAGCCTGCAGGAAGACGCTTCATGCTTCCTGTCATCCATCCCTTCTGCAGCACCTGTAACCAAATGTTCCTGAGTTCTGCAGACGCCTGATAACAAACGGTTGACTTGGTTCAGCCGTGTCGGAGAAGAGACGGTATCTCTGGAAAACTGGTCTTTGGTGCCCTGCTGCAGATCCGTGGATCTCTGTAGATCTCTGTGGATCTCTGTGGATTTCTGTAGATCTCTGTAGATCTCTGTGGATCTCTGTAGATCTCTGTAGATCTCTGTGGATCTCTGTAGATCTCTGTGGATCTCTGTAGATGCAGAGATCTCACTGGCTGCTTGACCCCAGTTTTTTGTAGAGCATCACATCTTTGGGTCCTGATTCTGTGTAAACCGTAAAGTCTCTGTGGATCTTGCTTCTCAACAGATGTGTTTCTCTGAAGGTTCTAGCAGGCGGTTCTCCTCCAGGGCTGCTGGTTTGATTGAATATTTCTGTTTCAGTTTGAGACCCGTTGGTCAGGATGAGTCCGAAACACGTCGTCTTCAAGAAGGTATCCAGAGACAAGTCGGTAAGTTCTGCTGAGAAAACCCATCCATCCATTTGCAGGTGAAGTCATGTTGAACAAGCAGCCATGTTGATGTGAGTCCCTCTGTTTGGTCTGACAGGTGGCCGTCTACATGGCCAAGAGGGACTTTGTGGATCGCTGTGACTCTGTGGATCCAGTTGGTGAGTTCCAGCTTGAGCTTTTTTTGTTGTTATTTGTCTTTGTGGTCAAAGGTTCCTGTGCAGGAAAAAAATCAATTAACTTCCATCATCAGAGATGGAGAAAATGACCTCTTCTCTGTGGAGAAAGGATATTTGGTTCTTTACTGAAAACACTTGGCAGAAATCGTAAAGGGTCTAAACAGAACCAGGCCAAAGGGACCAACCACACTGTCTGTTGGTGCCGAGTCCTTTCTGCACAGCCCAGTGTGGAATGGACTCCTCCTGTTTCTCATCTCACAGACGGCGTGATTGTGATTGACCCAGTTCAGCTGAAAGGAAAGAAAGGTGAGCTTTAATCCTCTCACTTCTCAGAAATCATATTTGGGAACCTTAGTCTCCGTTAAGCCGTGTTGTTTTCTGTCTCTGCCAGTGTATGTGATGCTCTCATGCACGTTTCGATACGGCCGTCAGGACATGGATGTGATGGGCGTGGCCTTCAGGAGGGACCTGTTCGTGGTGACCCGGCAGGTTTACCCAGAGTTGCAGGACAAAGAGAAGCTGACCCACACCAAGGTCCAGCAGAAGCTTCTGCACAAACTAGGAGACAACGCCTACCCTTTCTTCTTCGAGGTGAGGGTTGAAGTCAGACTGAGGTTTGTCCAGTCCAAGGTCTGGCCTTACACCAGACATTGCTCTGAAGCAGGCAGAGGACAGGACTCTGTTGGAAGACCTAAGTCGAGTTTGACCAAGTATTGAAATCTAAATTAGGACAAAAGTCAAATCACATCTGACCCAGAGCCAAGATCCTGATGCTCCTTATTTAAATCATGAAACATTTTCAAACATCAGCTGAATTGTTGTTGACAGTCGAGATCATCCACAATAAAACCTTTTCAGTTTCCAGACAACCTGCCGTGTTCTGTCAGTCTGCAGCCCGGTCCGAATGACGTGGGAAAGGTAACAGATCCTCCCTGATGTCATCCATATCTTCATCCATCTCCCTCTGGCCCTCCTGATGTTTGACCTCTCCCGTCGCGTGTTTGTGTTGGCCAGAAATGTGCGGTGGAGTTCGAGGTGAAGGCGTTCTGTGGGGACAATCAGGACGAGAAGATTGATAAACAGTGAGTTTGTTTACTGGACCTGGATTCACTCCATCAGTGTTGCATCACAAGCTTCTTCTCTTTTTCTGCAGGAGCTCAGTTCGTCTCACCATCCGAAAGATCCAGTTCAGTCCAGAGAACACTGAAGTGGCTCCATTTGCAGACATGACCTTTGAGTTCTTGATGTCCGAAAATCCTCTACATGTCAAGCTGACCCTTCCCAAAGAGGTCAGTCGACCCGATTCTGGAATCAGTCCATGTGAGACAAACTACCCATGGTCTGGGTTAAAGTTCATTCCAAACAGGATGAATGAACACGTGACACAGAGCAAAATAGCAACTCTGGTCCGCAAACAAACCTCAGTCTGGGTTCAGTTGAAGTGAACTCTGGTCCAGTTCGAATACATATGTGAACGCCAAGCAGACCGGCTCCAAGATAAGGAAGTAGTATATAGCGCAAGGCCTTCTGGGTAAATAAAACAAACAAAAAATGCTAATCTAGCGTTAGCAGCAGAAATGGTTCGCGGTCTTTAACCAAACACTGAAGCGAAATCTTCCAACCACTAAAATCTGACAACACTCTGTTTTTGTTTGCATTTTGTGAAGAAGGAAGTTGCACTCAGTGTCTTCTTCAGATGTTTTCAAACCAGTGGACATCTTTCTAGTGAGGCGTCCAGAAGATATTCTGAACATTTTATAGTTCATAGACACAATAGTCATGTCTCTCCCGGTCTGTGTGTTTCTGTCTGCAGACGTTTTACCACGGTGAGCCGGTCAAAGCCAACGTTGAAATCACCAACTCCTCCAGCAGGAACATCAAAGACATCAGTTTGTCAGGTGAGTTTCTTCCTCCACATCCAAACATCTTCCACACCTTTACAAACCTGTGTTCAGCTTTACATAGCCTGGGCTAACATGCACACATCTGCACACACCTGCCCTTAGCTTCATGCTTACCAACACACACACACCTGTCTCCACCAGTTGTACACCTGTCCCACCTTTATACAGTTTGTCTTTACCTACCTGTCCTCATTTCCACCCATCTGAACTCACCTGTCCTGTGATTGAACTAATGAGTTTCTAGTATGTCTGTATGATCACGACTTTATTAGCTTCTCAGAGGAAACTTATGAGCCAGGAAACCTGCTAAAGCACGATGGATGCATCTCTGAACATGTATATGTTCAACTGTATATGAACTTGTCACTTCCTGTCTGTTCTCATCATCGTTTCTTCTTCACTGTGTTCAGTTGAGCAGGTGACCAATGTGGTGCTCTACTCCAACGATAAATATGTGAAATCTGTGGCCAAAGAAGAGACTGAGTGAGTGTTTGTGTCCTCGGTGTCTGGTGAACATTCTGAATTACCGGTTACCTGTTGGAGATGTATTGTTCATGAGGTTCTGATCCACATCCCAGGGATTCGGTTCCCTCTGGTACCACACTGAAGAAGGAGTACACTCTGTACCCTCTGCTGGCGTACAACAAGGACCGCAGAGGAATCGCTCTGGATGGACGACTGAAACATGAAGACACCAATCTGGCTTCGTCCAGCATGTAGGGACACGGTGTCACGGTTCACTCTGGAGCTGTGGTACTGAAGGAGTTCTGAGTGTTGTCTCTGTGTCAGTGTGAAGCAGGAGGTGCTGAAAGAAGTCCAGGGGATGCTGATTTCCTACAAGGTGGTTCTGAAGATGATAGCCTCCGGGTGAGTTAACCTCTGCTTTCAGTTTGTTTATATGTTTGGAGACATTCAGCAGCAAATCGTCTAGATGAATGTTAACTGACTGAGTCTCCGTCTGCTGCTGCTCACCAACAGGACGGTGGGGTCCAGGTACGTACACGCCTCGACACCCACAGTTTGTGTGTCTGCTATGATGTGGAGGCTCACAGCTCTATGTGTTTCACAGTGAGGTTTCTGTGGAGGTGCCCTTCAAACTGATGAATCCAAAATCAGAACCAGGTAAAGATTTGAAATGCTTAATATCCCCCCTACAGCCCCACCCTCAGATGCATGTAGCTCCGCCTACTAGATCGGTGTAGCCAAACTGAACTCATTGTTCAAAGTAAAGGGTTCTTTCATTTGATTGCCTCAGATTGACTATTCACATCCTCTTTTCGTTCTTCTTCTGCTGCTTCTCACCTGCAGTGAAGGACAGGTAAGATTGTCTGCTTGAGCACGATAATTCAGTCTTCAAACTTTAAAAATCAGAGAAAACCAATAAAATGTGTTTGGTCATGTTGTGTGGCCGTCACTCCAGCTTTCTCTCTGACCTTCGCAGTGAACCTGATGACATGGTGTTTGAAGACTTTAAACGGGCCTACCTGAAGGGCGTGGTCTACGGAGATGACGATGAGTCTCCAACTGAGGCCTAAACTATAAAGACGACATCGACTGTTCAGTTCTCCACCTAAAGATCAACAGACATTCAGGACAGAGGAATCATGAGATGAACTTCATATGGTTACCCTGAAAGATGTCTGTTGTGAACTCCTCAGCGTTAGATAGCGCCTGTAGTTGTTAACCTCTGACAGTTCCTCAGTGGAGGTGTTGGAGCTCAAATCTTTATGTCCCTTCATGGAGGTAGAGGTACCTAAGGGGCGGAGCTACATCTAACTGTAGTATTGCTTCTGTAGCTTCTAGTGAATCAGATTCAAACCAGAATTCAGAATGTAGTTTTTAACTGTTCTCAGATTAAATAACTTCCTAAACCAAAAAAGTGTTTGTTTAATTCATTCAACCAGCCAACCAAACAACCAACCAGCCATTTGTCCGTCCAACCATATTTTAATCCAGCATATCGCTTCTTTAAATGACATCAATAAAGAAATCAAAAGGAATGGTGAAGAACAGCTTTGGACCTCCACAAATTTGGTTCTTCTTTGTGTCCAATTTCAAGATGATTGTTTGTGTCTCATTCATCTGGTCAAGCAATCTTGCAAAGTGAAACAGCCTGTAAATGTGCAGCCACATGGAGAAGGATTCTGTCTCTGAGATGTTTTGGTACAAATTTTTTAACGTATCAATGCAAAGCCACTTAGAAAGGAATAAGCCATTACTCCTAAGACAACATAAAAAAGCAGATTACAGTTTGCAAATGCACTCAAAAAGGACAGATTACATTTTGGAGGCATTTCTTTGGTGTAAATAAGCTAAACTTAAAGTGTTTGGTCTGAATGACAGACTACACCAGGACTGTCAGATGGAATTGGACTAAACGCCATCAAATTCTTGTCAAAAGCTTGTGGAAGAATTTCTAAAACTTCTATTCTCATACATTTAAAAGGTAATTCTTCCAAATATTTATGTAATGTGTGAACATATCTCAGTTTGAAGTATCTTCAGATAATTATTCATTAAATTAGCAACATGAATCAATTGACCATCCTACCGGGCCTAAAACTTGAAAGTCTTGGTCGGATTTTATGTCAAATAGTAAAATATGATTTTTTTTAACACTGTGCAAAATTGCTTACTGTATTCTAGTAATGTTAAAGATTCGCCAGCAGGGGGCAGTATGCACCGCTCTCAGCCTCGCCGCTGTGCTGCCCACTGTTCGCCGCGAGGGGGAGCTGCTTTTCTGCTTCTCATCGGGGGCCTGATGATGACAGGATGGCGGAGGCAGGGGGACCGGAGTCCACTGCGGCCCGGTGCCCGGACGAGTCCTCGGACAGCGAGCCCGAGCAGGAGCCCGGATCCCCGCAGAAACTCATCCGGAAAGTGTCGACGTCCGGTCAAATCCGCAGCAAGGTATGAAAGGGTCACAGCTGGGGGGTTTATAGCGGGGTATCAGTGGTCATTCAGCTGGGTGGGCCCCGCAAAGCCCCGGGCTGCTCCGCTCTGGCCGATGGAACATTGGGGCGCCAGACCCCCGTAGAAAAACTGGTACTTTTATACTAACAGCCCTGAAAAGTTGCTTTGTAAAGTTTTAAAAAATGAACATGCCGACTCTGTGGCAGCATAAGGACTGCTCTCTGCTCCGTCGCAGAGCAGACCGTCTCTGAGTTTATAAATATCTCTGCTACCGAAACATTTGACACCTACTGCCCTCCTCCGCTGCTCCGAGTATGCGGCCGCACTACCACTGGAACCAGAACCAGAACCTGGGCTTTTGGATCATTTTAATGGACGCCGAATTAAAGAGGATGGTCATTTTTGTCGCTTACATCCAGTTATATCCAGAGTCCGATTTCAAATAATAATTTAAATTTTCAATGAATGAAGCCTCAACTGGAGATTGGTTGGATTGTTTTTTTTTACCTAAACAGTTATCCAGAATCTCAGCTGATATTTGAGTTTTTATGAAGCCGTATTAAAGAGAGTGTATATTTCCGTTATCTTACCGCTTTAAGATCCGAGTTTGAACCTGGTTATGTTTTAAACATTTGCTAACTGTTTTTTGCTAAAGATTTTAAGTGGAGCTCGCGACCATTTCTCATTTCCGGAAGATAACGGAACTGGGTTGCGGAACTAATGATGCCGAATTAAAGCCTGGTTTAGCCTCTCGCCTCTTTTATTTTTATTCTTTTTTTTATTTATTTATTTATTTTGGAGATTAATCACAATGTGATCCGAGGGCCTGTAACTTGTGTTTCGATTTATTCCTGTGGGAAGCTAACGGAACCTCGGGATGCTTGTGAGCTTTAATGGTGCCGAATTAGACTAAAGGTGTTTCACTGTAACTGATTTCAATAACATTAAATTACGTTAATGTTATTGAAGCTTGTGTAGAGATTCAAGTTTAAACGAGACGGATTTTAGGTGGAATACGGTCCGGGTGTTCTCCTTTCCAGCAGAAGACCAAAATATTTGGATCAGAACCTGTTGTTGTCCAACGCCTCCACGTGTAAATTATTTCACAGGAGTAAATAAATAACTCTGTTTCTGGTTCAGTTTAATTTTATCAACCTATAGCGTTTACATACCAATATTTAACGAGGACTTTAAAATGATTCCCGAGAAACAGTGACTAGAGAGAATATGGTTCCGCTCAGGAAAACGGAGGCCTGGTTGACCGACCGAGGCCTCGGGGTCGTCCAGGCTGCCCACCCGGGCTGAGTGAGTGGGAAGGCGGGCTGGGAGCCTCCACAGCCCGGGTATTGATCCAGCTGTTGGAACAGATGTATTCGGGTTCGGTTCTGCTGAAAGAGGCGACATGTTCTGATCCTCACTGATAAATGTGATGGATGCGCTGAAAATGGAAAAATACAAAACGTTCTGAAACAGTTACAGAAAACTATATAAAATCAACTATCTTTAGTTTTCGCGGTAAATTAAAGTTTTTCTTAAACTTTATGTTGTGACAATGTAACATAAATTACAGGTTAATGTAAAAAATAAACAAACGGGTCATATGAATGCAACTTTCTGCAGCTGGAAACAGTTGATTATCTGCGGATTGCTCTGTGAAGTTGCGAGTTCCTGCGGCCCCTGAAGGCAGCATGGAGAATGCGCATTGTGGGAATGGCTCATGAACGGCTCGGCGGTTTTATCAGCACCTCTCCTAAATGTTCACATGATCAAAGCGATCTGACCTTTGACCCCAGCAGGGAACCTTGTTTACCTCTTAAAACTGTTTAAGCCAGACTCCAGGTGAGTTCCTTCCTTCCTTCTTCCCTCCCTCCTTTCCTTCCTTCCTTCCTTCCTTCCTTCCTTCTCTACTTTCCTCCCTCACTCAGGAAGGAAGGGAGGGAGTAAGGGGGGGAAGGAAGGGAGGGAGGGAAGAATGAAGAGAAGGAAGGAAGGTAGGGAGGGAGGGAAGAATGAAGAGAAGGAAGAAAGGTAGGGACCTTCCTTCCTTCTCTTCTTTCTTCCCTCCCTCCCTTCCTTCCTTCCCTACTTTCCTCCTTCACTCTCTACCTTACTCCCTCCCTTCCTCCTTCATTTCCTCCTTCCCTGCCTTCTTCCTTCCCTCCCTTCCTTCCTTCCCTACCTTCTTTCCTCCCTCCCTTCCTACCGTTCTTGGTCCAGCCACCGCTCACAGCTAACTGCTCTGTGAAGGTTTACAGGTTTTTGTTGATGTAAGGATTCTGCTCTCTAAGGAGGAAAGCTGCTGAAAGTGATGATGATGATGATGATGCTCCGCCCCCTCTCTTACAGACCGTCCTGAAGGAAGGAACGCTCCTGAAACAGACAAACTCCTTCCAGCGTTGGAAGAGACGATACTTCAAGCTCCGAGGAAGGACTCTGTACTACGCACAGACCAGCAAGGTGAGTGGTCAGGTTGGGAGGAAGAGTGGGCGGAGCCTGAGTTTGATCAGCTGATTGGTTGGGGCCGATAAGAAGTGCCGCGTCTCTCTGCAGTCCATCATCTTTGACGAGGTGGACCTGACCGACGCCAGCGTGGCCGAGTCCAGCACCAAGAACGTCAACAACAGCTTCACAGTGAGTCCAAACGCAATCCTTCCACCGCTAAAAGTAGTCCCAGCAGTGGAAAGGTTGCTGGGTAAACTCCCACTAAGCAGAGCTAACGTTTGTTTATTGCTTAGTGTTTTTAGCTACATTTAAAAAGATTTGGCACATTTAGTTTCCCCTAAACTCTTTTTCCAGATGAATTTTAAATCACTAATTTACTTGACTGTTTTGTAAACTTTCAGTTAAATAAAGTTTGATATTTTTGGTTCTCGACTGTTAAAAAGTCTTCAAGTTAATGGATGTTTATATTCATGCTCTTATTTTGAAAGGGGAAGACTGTAGTATTTCCATTTCCTCTTCTCACATTCTTTATTTTTTTCCCAATAAATTTATTTAAAACAAAATAAAACAGATAGTAGAGAAAGATAAACAGATATCTTCTACGTGTGTATTTTTGCTTGAAGTGATGTCACTTCCTGTTAGTGAGGCTGCAGATGGTTAGCCACAGGGTTAGGCGGAGTGTGTGTTTGTATGACTGATCATGTGGTGGAGTGTATTTATAGCCTGCAGGGTGCATGTTCTCGTAAGCTGTGTGTGTGTGTGTGTGTGTGTGTGTGTGTGTGTGTGTGTGTGTGTGTGTGTGTGTGTGTGTGTGTGTGTGTGTGTGTGTGTGTGTGTGTGTGACGTCAGACAGGAAGTGGGCATGAGCTGTTTTTAGGGTGGGAGGGGCAAGTGAAAGGAAAAACAGCAGGAGGATCAAAGAGCAGCGAGTCTCAGAAGGGATCCGGTTCCGGACGCTCAGGAGAACTTTGGGTCGGTAAGATGGCTGATTGGTCCGGCAGGTTCTGATCTGATCCGTTTGTTCAGCTTGTTTCTCTGTTCTGGTTCACGATGATGATGATGAAGATGATGGGTTTTAAAGCTCGGATGGGTCCGATTCTCCTGATCCAAGTCAGAGCTGATAACAATCAGAGCCAACTGTTCTCTCCTGATGTGGGTCCACTGACACCCAACGTGACTCTGACTGGGTTCTCTGGACTCTGACTGGGTTCTCTGGACTCTGACTGGGTTCTCTGACTCGTTATGTTCAGGATTCTCATCCCAGCTGTTTGGAGAACATTTGACCCATTTGGAAGCTTCTTTATCCAAACGGGTCGGTCGGGTTGGACGGTTCCTGAACTGAGACTCTGGGTTCCTCAGAGAGCATTAGAAGGTTTGGGTCGATGTCTGGGGTGTCGGATCAGAACCAGAACCTCTGCAGCTGCGTTTTCATTAGAAATGTCTGCTGATATTCCTGCCGACTCAATTAAAGTTCTTCTGGCCGCTTCGTTCTGCTGCTTAAACCTTTTTCAGAATTGCAGATTTCCCATCAAATTCCAGTTT